CTTGATTGGGGGCCCCATATTAATAATATAACTTCAAAGGCAAATAAAACACTAGGTTTTTTACGTAGAAACATGAAAAACTGTACACGTAAGGTTAAAAACCTTACGTACACATCACTTGTGCGTCCGACCGTCGATTACACCTCACCAGTTTGGGATCCGTACAAACAAAGCCAAACTTAACAAATTGAGCAGATACAGCGTAAGGCAGCAATATATGTTTTTAATGATTATAACGATAGATCACCAGGCGCTGTCACTGGTATGTTAAACAAACTAAAATGGGAAAACTTACAATCCCGTAGAACAAAAGCTAAGCTTGTCTTGATTTATAAGATTAATGGGGGTTGGTCGAAGACACTAATGACGTCCTGACACAATCTGACAGGCGAACTAGAGGCCTACATAAATTTCGACATATATATACAAATAAAGACTTTTTAAATCATCTTTTTTCCCAAGTACTATTGCTGTCTGGAACGATCTCCCAGAAACAATTTGCATGTCACCCTCCCTAGAATCCTTCAAAGGCGGTATTTCCACCTTAACATTTGGAGGTTCTAGTCTGGCTAATTAATTAGTGTATTTAAGCCACTGTACATAATGTGAATATGTTTAACATTAAGCTACAACTAATGTTATCTTAAATTGTAATTGAACTGTGGCAAATATTTTATTTTATTATAACACAATTTTCGACATCCATGTACATAGCGCCTCAGTTCCGGGATATTCCACATTCCGGCACCGGAGTCTTTCCCGTACCAGGAAGAAGAAGAAGAACGACAATTCTTCTTCAACTTCTGATCTTGCATATTCAAACGACAATTCTACTTCAACTTCTGATCTTTCCTGCAGCAACGATAGTTCCACGTCAACCTTTGACCTATACATGCGCATTGATAAATGTATCAGTACCTCAACTAACTTTATTAATACTTTCTGTCGAGATGTGCATATCTCACCTGCTCCTGTTGATCCAACTTCTATGGAATGCCGTTACAATGAAGTCACCACGACACATGCGCCACCACCTGCTGTATTTAGTCCTGATACATTAACATCGAACGCAGCAAAATATTTAACCAGTAAAAAGCTGGATAATAGCAGTAATGCTTTATCTAAAATTGATGGTGCCTTTGTTGGTACAAGTCCAAGACCATCCAAGACGGCACTTATGGTTACCCCAGGGAGATTTTCTCCAGCCCCTTCCTTATTTATATGTGGAATGGAGGAATCAAAAAAACAAACGCATTGTTTAGTGTGTCCTTTTACAGGATCTCATCTTCCAGAAATAAGACTTCAGGACATTATATTTACGAAAGTTGACACCAGAGCTGAAGAATACAAATGTTTAGGTACAGGTGTAACTTCAGCTGTCTTTGAAGGTCAAGTTGTTATTAACAATTGTGGGTTAAAAAGCGTTGCAGTAAAACTTTTTAAACAACCATTTGACAACCTTGAAGGAATATCTGCGGAAACAGGTCTTCTTAAAATGTTAGAGCAAACAGGTATTACGCCCAAGCTGTTTAATTGGTATTTTACAAAGAACTTCTGAAGGAAACGACCCTGGAATTGTTCAAGAGTTGATACAGAGCTCAATAACACTGCAGTCTTCAACAAAATATCGTAGATCTATAGTGAGCAATCTCAAGACGACTGACCCTTTTAGTGTTACTAATATACTGCATGTCAATTATCATTATTATTATCATTCACCATGCATGATCAAATTTTGATTTGGGTCCGATTTTCTGACATCTTATTACAGCACAGAAAACCAATGATTTTTAAGAACTAATACCGAAAATGTAGGTACATGAAAAAGTAAATTTCCTAACTGAACAATTTATTCCATTTATTTTTTCACTACCAGCTGAAGTACGATTTACAGGACATCTTTACCTAAAAGTAAACATTTTCAGTTACACACTTGAGTTTCTGAGTACTAAGCAGTCTCTAGAGAACACTAACATCCCGATTTGAAATTACATGTTCATTCAGTTATTAACTTTGGAGTACTGTGTGCTTGTTTTTTGCATTTAAAAAGTACAAGGAAACACGGCGATTTATGTGACAGTCATTCCCGCAATAAGCGTCGCGACCAGACGTAAATTGTACGGAAGACGATCATAATTTGGTTTTGTGTGTTGGTGTATAACAACAGAAATAAACACATTGTAAGTTTCGCTGTAAAAGCTTGTGGCTGGTTAAACAATGTAAATTCGACATGTTTTCACTGTGAACTTGTAAGAGATCGCCTGTATGCATGAATCGGCTACGGTTGCTTACGGTGAGGAGGGGGTGGGGGTGGGGTACGGTGGAAGCAGGACAAATCGCCCCACTGGCAAATCGCCCCACACCAAATCGCCCCACTTTTTCACCAACTCGCCCCACTTTTAAAAAAATCGCCCCAAACTGGTTTACCAACTCGCCCCACTTTTTAAAAAATCGCCCCACTTGTGAAAAGGGTTAAATCCCGTTAATTTTTCTCCTGCCAACTCGCCCCACTTAATAAATAAAGGTAAAATCTAGATGAATATATAATTTTCAGGTCTGCAAACTCGCCCCACTTAAATGAAAACTAATCTTCACAGAATACATGAAAACGAAAATTTATTAGATTATTATTATTGAAATTAAATGATGTTTCACTTTCTTAAAATATAATTGTAAATACATTATTCATTATCATGTAATTTTCGTATTATTGGAGAATAACTTTATTCTTGTAAGCTTAGTTATTTGCATAACAATTGAAAAGAAACCTGTTAATTGTATCATAATCCGATATTTTATCATAACACTTGAAGGATTTCAATTTGTTTTTATAGCACTAAACGGATTGGTTACTTTTGTCTTTGAATTAAGAATAATTAGACACTAACGAGCAATCAGTGAAAGGCAAATGTTACTTTCAAGTAAATATCAAAGAGAATGTCCATTCATTCTAGTCAAAGCAGGTTTTGTTGTTGTTGAAAAATTGATTGGTAAGATTTGTTTATGGTTTGAAAACAATAAAAATTGAGAAATTTATGGCTTGGTTTCAAAATTATAAATGTAAAGTAGCCTTTTTCATGCATTTACTATGTCCACTATGTATCCTTGTGCTGTATTGAAGGCAGCATATATCTACAACCAGACTCTTACGCCAGTGTGGTCGTATCAACGGTCCAGTCGTGGAAGCAGACAGCTACTGAACTATCTAATGGCAATCTATTGTATGCCATATATGTGTATTCATGTTCATGTTTCTAGTGCTGACATTTTATCTAGTACTTCGTTTTATGTTATCATGCCAGTGCTTGTCATAATTGATTTAATGTATGTTTATTTAAAATGTTATTGTTATGCATACTTATGTAGATGTGCAAACCTGTCATCTGAGAGTAAAATTATGTAAACACACATGATTCTTGACTTATCTTATAAAACATTGAATATATTTACCAGTAAAAAAAACGTCACAGAAATGCTGATGCTTACTTCTTTCTGCTTTATTTCAACCAAAAGAAAATAACAAAAAAACATGATGCATTTCTAACGTTTTCACAAGTGAGGCATAAATTCATTACAGTTTTATTCTTTTATTCATAAGTGGGGCTAGTTGGTAGGCGTTAATTCTGTACATACTTTTATTTATCAGTGGGGTGAGTTGGCAGACATAAATTCAACGGCATTACTTCCTTTTTCATAAGTGGGGCGAGTTGGCATGACTCTATTCATCAGGATTTTTCTATTTTTCACAAGTGGGGCTATAGATGGCATATTCAAGTCGCAGAAATACTGATATTCACTTCTTTCTGCTTTATTTCAACAAAAAGAAAAGAACTACAAGAACATGTTTATCTAAGGTTTTTATAGGTATTGATTTTATTTATAAGTGGGACAGTAACATAGATATACAACGGGATTGCATCTTTTTTCATAAGTGGGGCGAGTTGGCATTACTGAATTCATCGTGGTTTATCTATTTGTCATGAGTGGGGCGAGTTGGCATACCTTATTTCAGCGGGATTTTAACCCTTTTCATAAGTTGTGCAAGTTATCCAACCTATTTTCAATGGGATTTTACCCTTTTTCATAAGTGGGGCGAGTTGTTAAACAAGAGTGGGGCGATTTTTTAGAAAGTGGGGCGAGTTGGTGAAAAAGTGGGGCGATTAGGTGTGGGGCGATTTGCCAGTGGGGCGATTTGTCATGGATTCGGGTACGGTAGATTTCTACTCTGTTAATTGCCTATGTGCATCTAACCCGAATAATTCAGTCGTTATATTCCACTGCTCTACGATAACATTGAGCTATTAGCTGATTGGCTCTCTCACCCAGAGGGCACCAATCAAAATCCTCGATTCGTGACGCGTTTTTATTGTATAAAGAATTCAGGCCCTCGCGAGTGGGAGAGTCGATCACGGGGTGGGACTGAATTATTCGGGTTAATGTGCATCCTAAGTTACAGCTGACACACGAAAAATACTATTGTAATCAGCCAATGACACAGTCTAACTACAATGAATGGTTGCCACCAAAGACGCCTTGTGCACTATTGTCTGTTATCTTTACAAATAAAAATAATACCCCTCCTCCCAAAATAAAACAGACAAATAACAAAAAAACAAAAATAACCATTGACAAAACATTAACCAAAAAATACAAAACAAACAAAACAAACAAACATCTAAAATCATAACAAATTAACACAAAACAAAAAGGAAAGTAATACAAAAAATATAACAAAACAATAAACACAAAACCAAGAAATAACAAAATAACAAAACAATCATTGAAACATTAAATATATTATAAAGAACATTAAACAAATAACAAAACCAATACACACAAAATATATGACAAAACAATTAAAACAACATATAAATAGCAAATCAAGAAACATAAAAACACAAAATGAATGTGATTTAAAAAAATGTTATATTACCATCTTATATTAGTATCGTTGCACTTCCAAAGGTTTGGGTTCCCAGGAGGCACAGTTTTTGGACCAAAGTAATAGGTACGAGTGTGAATATATCTTTAATCCAGATTCCAATCTAATCAAGCATTTACGTTCCCCATTTCAAAGGGAGATTATAATTTATTTACATTGCACAACTTTATTTCTATGTAAACGAGGCATCTCTATAAAAATTAGTCTATATAGAGAAGATGTCTTTATCAGCCAGAAAGCAGAAATTCGTGGAAGATGCCAAAGCAGCCGAAGAGCTTTGCAATACAAACAGTCTGCCCTTTGGAGGTATTCCCATGACAATTTGCCTGATTTCTCAGATAAAATGAAAGCATTTCCCAAGTTGTTTACCAGTTACTTTCGTTTTTACTCTCTTCAACAGGTTGGACGCATGACACGACAAACGGAGAGTAGTTATTAAAATGAGTAACTGTTCAACAAATAAGAGAAATTTTTGCCCTTAGAGTGACATTTTATAATGAAAAACTAAGCCACTTTTCCACCAGATTCTCAAACTGAATCAAAGGGCATAGCTGTCAACTGACCCGTATTCTGTGGGTCACACCTGAGAATTTCCCCCTTCACACAGGATTTTTTTAAATACCAGCCAGGTATTCTGATAACCCAGGATATCAGAAAATGACCTGTTTTCACCCGTATTTCTGACTGGTATTGTTTCCGGTATTTAGAAGTCAAATGTACTTTCGGTTTTCTCTGCGTTTTTTCCTTTGAAAAGGTAAACATTTGAAATTAGAATTTGCTTATTTACCGTGCCAATGACAGCTATGAAAACATTACATTTGACTGAAAGGTAACAATTCGAGGATTGTTTGTTAATTGTAACCCAGAAAGTTGAAGCCAGTCTGAAGCTTGACATACAATTTTATGTCCTGATTAAAAGATTTGCCGTTTGCAAATATCAAATATCCTGTAAAAATCATTTTAAAGCAATTTGAACCTTTTAATACATTTCTGTCGGAGAGAGTAATTTTGTTATCACTTTAATGTAAAAGCTTTAAATCAAATCTATATGCTCTAGATATTACACTGAAAGGAAACACACTAATTTCTTTCTATTTATCTTCCTCCTGTGTATAGGAGTACATTACTGTAGCTATAATTGATTTCTAATTACATGTATAGCTGGGGTTTATGACATTTAAGGAATAACTGTAATATTTTTTCTGTCTATGAAGAAATAACATCAAAAATGTGATGCACACTGAATAACGCGCGTAGCGTGTTATTTTAAAGTGTGCATCACATTTTTTATGTTATTTCGAATAGACAGATAAAATATTACAGTTATTTCTTATAATTTAATTCTAAATTCCATTTTAAACTGGAGTAAACAATGAAAAAACGTTGATGACGTCACGGTCACATGACTAAATTATGTCTATGAGCTGATAAACAAAGCAACATCAGCCAATCAGCAGACGCGTTACATCCAAAATTAATATTCATTAATAAAAAGAAGTAAACTAGTGTGAATAAAACAATAAAGGGGCATATATATTGCTTAAGAAAGCTATTTGATTAATGATACATGTAAATATTTATAATGGTTTACTTTTATAAATTGTGACTTGGATGGGGAGTTGTCTTATTGGCACTCATACATCTTCCTATATCTATATACTTAAAAAATACAAAAGTGATTATTTTTAGGAAACTCAGTGGTACATGTATATGTTATCATGGTTATAGTATATAAAAAAAAAACTCTCAATATTAAAATTGGACCGAAAAAGTTTGTATGCTAATGACCTGACATTTTCAATTTTAGAGGTTGACAGGTATGAAGGGTGCTAGTTTAGTGGGTCAGATGAGGTTTTACTGCCAATGGTGGTCCCTATACTATGGTATTTTATATAGGATATTGACTGCCATTGATAGAAACACTTCATCTGGCCCACTAAACAAGCCCCTGTGACTGAATACTGTTTTACCAATTTCAGAGCCAATGAAAATCACTCAAAATGGACTCTCGCTTGACTCATTGAAATTTGATCTATCCCTGATTTCAGCTGGGGTCCAGAGATTTGGCTCAAAATACGAAAAAAATCACTAATTAGCGACAAGATGACAAAATATGTGTTAATAAAGTTTATATACTATTAAAATTGAGAATGGAAATGGGGAATATGTCAGAGAGACAACAACCCGACCAAAGAGCAGATAACAGCTGAAGGCCACCAATGGGTCTTCAACGCAGTGAGAAAATCCAACACCCTGAGGTGGTCCTCAGCTGGCCCCTAAATAAAATTGTGTACTAGTTCAGTGAAAATGGACGTCACACTAAACTCCAAAACATATAAAGGAACTAAAATTAAAAAAAAACATACAAAACTAACAAAGGCCAGAGGTTCCTGACTTGGGACAGGCGTAAAAATGTGGCGGGGTTAAACATGTTTTGTGTTATCTCAACCCTCCCCCTATACCTCTAGCCAATGTAGAATAAAGAAACACATAGCAATACGCACAGTAAAACTCAGTTTAAAAGAAGTCAGAGTCGGATGTCAGAATAAATGACAAAAGAAACTAAGCAAAATGACAATGATACATAAATTAACAAAGGACTACTAGCAGTTACTTATATGCCAGCTCCAGACCTCAATTAAACTGATTTAAAGATTATGTCTTCATCATATGAAAATCAGGTACAATCCCTCCCGTTAAGGGTTTAGTATCATACCATCATAAAATATATGAGAAGAACATAACCTGTATCATGCCAACAACTGGTTTTAGAATAAATGTGTTTATTTCCGATGTAAAGACCCTATGAGTGAATCAATATTAATACCAAAATATGCAATCCTTAATGATCTGACCATGCTGACAACAGTATCGTAACTATATCCCTTTCGAATAAGTCTGTTTAAAGGTTTGGTTAGCTTTTGAGGTGAATGTTGACATTTTTGTGCTTTGTAAAGAATATTACCATAAAATATTGGATGTGAAATACTTGAACGTATAAGATGTCTGCATGTTGATTTATATTTACGAATGATGTCCTTGTAACGATGATAAAATTTAGTAAATGTTTTGACTAGTTTGTGATATCGAAAACCCTTGTGTAATAATTTTTATACGCCCGTTTACGGGACGTATTATGGCATACCGTTGTCCGTCTGTCCGTCCGTCTGTCCGTCGTCAACATGTCGGACATTAACTAAAAAATGCTTTAACCAATTTGCATAAAACTTTGGTGAATTGTTTATATCTATTGACCTGAGCTCCCTTTCGTTTTTTATAAAATTTAGATTTTACGTTTCCGAGTTATGGGGTTTTATTCATTAAAAAAAGGGGGATTTTCCAGTTTTCGGACAATAAGTCAAGAATGCTTTCACCAACTTGCAAGAAATTGTGGTGAATTGTTTATATCTATTGACATGAGCTCCCTTTCGATTTTTATAAATTTTAGATTTTACGTTTCCGAGTTACAGGGTTTTATTCATAAAAAAAGGGGGGATTTTCCAGTTTTCGGACAAAAACTCAAAAATGCTTCCAGCAATTCTTATGAAACTTTAGTGAATTGTTTGTATGTATTGATGTAAGCTCCCTTTAGAATTTTATAAATTTTACGTTTTACATTTTTGAGTTATGGGGTTTTATTCATTAAAAAAGGGGTGATTTTCCAGTTTTCGGACAATAACTCAAAAATGCTGTCACCAATTCTCATGAAACGTTGGTGAATTGTTTATATCTATTGATGTAAGCTCCCTTTTTATTTTCATAAATTTCTAATATGACATTGAGAATTTATTGAACTTTATTTGTTTATAGTCTGACAACAGATTTACTAAGTATTGCACAACAGCAAGAAATCTTTAATTGAATATAAATTCAATTCATATAACCAATTTCAAGTTCTTTGACTACATTTATTCAGAAACCTATAATATGTCAAATATTTAATTACAATCCAAATTCAGACCTGAATCAAGCTTGAATATTGTGTCCATTTTTGCCCCAAATGTTCAGGGTTGGACCTCTGCGGGCGTATCTAGCTGCGCTCAGCGAAGCAGTTTATTCAGTAATACAGAGATTTACTAAATACGTTGTTACATACACGAGCAAATCGAACAAGTCGAGATATATAACACCATAAGATGGTGAAGTCACCATCTAAAAATGGATAAATAACAATAGGAAATGAAAATTCATCTCTTTTATCATAAATTTTGGTATTAAGCTTCCCCTTAAAGATATAGATATCAAGATCCAGGAAAAGGCAGTGTTCATTGTTAGTATTAGCTTTATTTAAAGTCAGTTCGGCAGGATAAATCTCTTAAGTATACATACTGAAGTCGTCATTATTGAGAGCCAATATATCATCTAAATATCTAAAAGTGTTATTAAATTTTTGAATCAGAAGTTGTTTCAATGGGTCTTTGCTGATTTTAGTTATAAATTGTAACTCATAACAATACAGAAACAGATCCACAATAAGTGGTGCACAGTTAGTTCCCATGGGAATTCCGATAACCTGACGCTATACGAAATCTCCATAGCGAACAAAAAAGTTAACTAGTAAAAATTCAAGGGCAGTTATAGTATCAAAGCAGGTCCAATTGACATAGTTCTTTTGTTTGTTGTTACTAAAAAATGACCTAAAAGAGTTCGAACATATATATTCGCATTTCGATTTTTTAAATGCCCTTTCAATTAGGTGTGTGAATTTTTTCTTAATAAAATATGAGGCAAAGTGGTATATAGGGTAGAAAATCAAAATTTTGAACAGATTCAAAATCACCAATATAAGCATTCAATTTATATAGTACTTCCAACGAATTTTTGACACTCCAAAAGTAATTAATTCCACTATTTTCAAAAGCCTTATTTGAACAATTTATTACCAGGTTTTTGATTGTACCAAGTGTACTAGTAAGTTGAATAGATAGTTTAGTAGTGAAACAATTCCTGAAGACGAAATAAATCTATATTTGTAAGGAATTTTGTGCAGCTTCGGGAGCCAGTCAGTGATTTTGCTAGCGCTCGTCATTTTCGTCATTTACGAAACGGTTTTCAAAATGACGAAAGTATTCCAAATCAATTTCGTCACTTCATTTTGGAAAGAGTAAAAATATTTTCGCATGAAAATACTATAATTCTACCTGTCTTATTGTTTGTTTCTGACAAGTTTATGACCCTCAGCTAATTAACATTTACAACAGGTGTTATAAGTTATGATTACAGATAATCCGCTTATTGCCATCGGATGGGTCACTTATCCGTTAATTATTTATCAACCTCAAAATTGATCATCAATATATTTTTTTCTCCAGTAAAATCAGTCAGTCGGCATTTCAATTTCAATATTTATCAAACGAGCAGTTCGTTTGTCGTAGTTTCGTCATTTGAGTTTTCCCTCGGACAGTTCGCATTTTAATTTCAATATTTCTCAAACGATCACAATTTGCAGTTCGCTTGTCGTAGTTCGTCAAATGAACGTATTTTCGTCATATTTGATATAACTTTCGACAATTTCGATTAAAAAGATAGAACTATGTTCATAACGTTCAGAAATGTTTTCACGAGTCAAACAGGTGCTTCCTTTACGATGAACTGCGCATGCGCGAAAGTATTCATATGAATTTAAAGACACTAAAACGTAAAATACAAAATAATTAAGTATCAAACTAAACGAGAGAGACAATTATAGTTCTTATTTAGCAAATTTAATTTAAAAAATGATAATTTCCTGCCTTTTTTTAAACACGAACCAATCCGTAGATGAATGCGGATTCACTCTGAATTTATTATCCACTTGTCACTTCCCGTTTTTATTTCATTTGAAAATCGAAAGTAAACGTGATCTATTCATGATAAATTTACAATTTAAAGTCATTAGAATTGTTCCAATAAGGATTTGTACAAATCCTTGGTTCCAACTTTATAGAATTAATTTTAAATATCGCTTTAAAACGTTTTTAAGTATCAATAATGCAGTGAAATAGTCCTTACAAGTTCATTTATGCTGTGATTCCTGGTTTAAAAAAAAAATGGATCCCAACTTTTGCTGATTAGGAATGTACCCTGAAACTAACTGAAGTGCAATTGTGAACTAGATTTCTAGATCTTATATCCTAATCTTCGTATTAAAGTGCCACATCAGTTAAATCATGCAGTAACTGCCTAGTATGCCTAAGTCCTTCAAAGACAAAGTCTGACAAAGATGTATAGATAGTAATATACATCCTAGGTCCCTTGCTGCTACCCAAAATAAGGTTGATTTTCATCCCGCGCAAAAGTGACTAAAGCCCTCAAAATCCTAGCTTAAACCCTGGAGCCAGTACATAGTTGGAACTTTCATTGTATTTAGTTCTGCTTGTAAACTAAAGAGGTAGCTTAAAGTTGATGTTTATTACAGATGTAATTTTTTTTTTAATGTTGGTGAAATCGTGATTTCCTTTTTTAGAACCTCAGTGTAAAATTTACGTCAAACAATAATGATATTGTTAGCAGCCTTATCAGCCAGGACAAAAACAAATTCCTTGGCGAGTTCTTTTAGCTTATGTTTGATACGAGAAATTGAGCTATTTAATAATTATAGTTGATGTTAGGAGTAAAATGTTCTTTAAAATGTTGAAAACGTATATCAACTATGTTCATTATCGAAATAAAAAAAAAATCTAATGATTTCTTGTCAGCTTTTTCTCGTTATATCCTATCCTTTTATCGTTGTATACTATAGATAGGTTTCGAATGACGTAATTTGAGATTGAGTTATTTTAGCTTGGCTGTCAGTTTGGAGGAATAAACATATGCATGTTAAAAAGGTTGATTTTCTGATTTAACTAACCAAATTGAAACATGCGATTCACACAAGTTTGATAAGAGATCCTTACTTTATCGTAGTGATGATATAAAAGCAAGGCCAAAAGCAATAAATATTGTTCAGAAAAACCCCTTTCCTAAAGTCTAGCAGTCAGTAGAACAAGCTGAAATTGGCTGAAGGAGTTTGTGCACTTATACCTCCAACATGGTGACCATAGGGAAGTAATTATAACACTTGCTCAAATTCTGTCAATCTAAACCCATCTATACTATTATGCTATCATTATTTTTTCAGATTTTTCCATATCGGAATCCACCATTTCATTTGCTGTTACTTTGGAAACGCCTAGATTTGAAAAATGTACAATTTGTGTAACAGATGACTACCCAGGTAAATCATTTAGCATCTTAAGAAATGGCTTATCGAGAATTTCTTGAATTAGAAACTCTCAATTCTTTATGTGAGTATGGACAACAATAATGTTTGAATACATCCCATTTCCCAAGATAACATACATGTCCATGTATAATCCCAGACCCATATTTCAAAAGTTATAGGATTTGGCCTTGTAAAATTTGACATTTGTATTGGACAATATAGGAGCGAAAATGTTTTAAAAGGTACTTCAAAACAGACATAAATTGAAATCTTAAATTAAAAGTTCAAATTTTAGTTTCAAATTAGGCCAAATGTGGCCCTTATCAAACCCTGTCCTTTCATATAGCATCCTGGTAAAAATGGAACTTTTTAGTACCATCCTGCTTCTTGAAATTATAGCATCACATCAATAGTGCTGTCTATAAGAAAATTTCATTTCGGATAGCATCACATTCAAGCAATGTAGCTTATAATTTTGATGCTAAACACATGTTAAAGGTCCTTTGGAGAAAACTGAAGTTGACTGATAATCACATGAATATACCAAGAACATTTGAAGAATTAAAATGTTTCATTTCTTTCCAACCTATATAACATCAAAGTAAATAGTATAACTTTTGAATGACTGGAAACATCATCTTTGGCCTAGTAAAGTAATAGACAGACAAATCCGCATTTTATAATTGTTTAAACATGGAGAAAATGATTTCATTGACAATTTGACAACTAATATTTGATATAATAAGTTCTATATTTCAGAAAATACCTTTATTTGTAAATTTGGAGAGAAAGAGGAAACGGAGATAATAAACAGCACAATACCACTGATAATTGTCAAACTACATAATGGTTAGTACCCGTATACTGTGGATTCAAATTTTTGTGGGTACCAAATATTATGCCTTTGGGTATATACCGAGTTTGATCTATTTTGAGGTATCAATAATGCCAGCTTTAAAACAATAAGGTGTTCATTGTTGTTGATTGTAAAAATAAAATTGAGAATGGAAACAGGGAATGTGTCAAAGAGACAACAACACGACCAAAGAGCAGAAAACAGCCTAAGGCCACCAATGATCTTCAACACAGGGAGAAAATCCCGCACCCGGAAGCGAGCTTCAGACGGCCCCTAAACAAAAATGTGTACTAGTTTAGTGAAAATGGACGTCAAACTAAACTCCGAAACATATAAATGAACCAAAATTAAAAAAAAACATACAAGACTAACATGTGTTTATAGTAAATGAACTTGATAGAAATAGCTATATAAAATAAAGATGTGGTATGATTGCCAATGAGACTACTATCCTCAAGAGAACCAATGACATAGATGTTACCAACTATAGGTCGCCGTACAGCCTTCAACAATGAACAAAACTCATACTGCATAACAAGTTATATAAGGCCCAAATTAACAAAATGTACATCAATATATCTGTTTAACTGACTAGAAACATATTTTTAAGTAAATCTGAAATATAATGGTTTAATGCATTTGTTGTATGTAAATTTGTGGAAGAGCATTATGAAAATTAATGAAATATTCAAAATTGGAGAAAGTTTCAGATGAAACATAAATATGCAAACACTGATAGAATAAATTGTTTAATTCATAAAAAAATACTGCAACAATCATCATCTACATACCTTTTAAATCACAAAATATTATTGGTTTATAGCCATTATAGGTTATTTTTAATTGAGGTTTCAGACTTTTTGTGATTATTTTTTTATGCCCCTGCCGTAGCAGATGGGGCATTAAGTTTTACCCTAGTCCATCTGTCCGTCCATCCGCAACTTTGTATAACTTATACACAATGCTTATTGCCAACAAAACACAGATCAAGCTTGAATTTTGGTGGCGTCACTTTTACCGTTCTAGAGTTATGCCCACTTACAATGAAAAAATTGCTGAATTTTTTGTTTCTGTTCTCCAACTTAAGTTTGCCTCAACCAAATGTTATGAAACTTATACACAATGCATTTTACCACAAAATTCAGATCAGGTTTGAATTTTGGTGGCATCACTTTTACTGTTCTAGAGTTATGCCCCTTTACAAATGGAAAAATTGCTAAATTTTTCATTTCCATTCTCTAACTTAAGTTTGCCTCAACCAAATGTTATGAAACTTATACACAATACTTATTACCACAAAACTCAGATCAAATACAAATTTGAGTAGCGTCACTTTTACCGTTCTTCAGTTATGTCCCGTTATAACTTTATATGATATGCAAGCGGGGGCATCATCTGTGTCCCATGGACACATTCTCCATTTATTATACATTAAATTGGACAGGTATGAATTCTTTAGTAGAAAGAAATTATCCTTAAATCCTAATTTTGACATGTGTTAGAATCTTTAAATACATATTCCATCTAACCTGTATATAAGGGTCATCCTTAGAACCAGATAAAACTGACCTTATAAGAGATGTGACCTTTGTTTTTTGTTTATATTTAGATTTAACCAGCCCTCCAGATATGATGAGTCAGTCATCCTTGTCTGTACCTCACTCGACACAGAGATCTATCAGTATGGAGTCTTCAGGTTCTAGTTATATGGACTGTAAATCTACTGTGTCCAGTGAATCTGAAGAAGAAGATATGGATTACTATTATAAGGTATATAGATCTATCTCTGCTCTGAATGATATGCATTATTTCTCCACTCAATACTGTTAAATCTAACTTATTAAACACAAATGTTTTAAGTGTTTGAAATTTAATGTTTGAGAGTGCCAACAGAAGTACTAGCAGTACAACATAGATTTCTGGTACTCTGTTTCATTTACATCCAAATTCTAAATCATTTAGATTATAAATTATATTTCTCTAATTCTTCGTCAATTTATCCCTTTCTGCACCCATTGTATAAAAAAAATTTAATCAACGTGTGGTTCGTTTGATCTCAGTTCTTCATTGGTTAAAATCCGATTATGACGTCGGATTTTCTTGCTTTCCTCTGAATATCCTATTGTGACGGCATGAAAAAAGGCGACCATGTCTGATGACGTTACATAGAAAGAACACATCTTTTTGCAGATCATTCAAAAAGAAGGAATAAGTTTGCCTGCATATTGTTTGAAAATCATTCGAGAAACAGATTCCACCACCAAATCTCGTGTAATACGATATTTATCCACTCTCGACAGTTAAATTTTAAATATTTAAAACGCTCGGCGCGCCTCGCGTTTTAAATTTGAAAATTTAACTGTCTCGAGTGGATAAATATTGTATCACACTCGATGCAGTGGTAGAATCTATATATATATATTTGCCCTGTCCACCTGTTGGTTAATTTTAAAACTGCCAGTATTCATTTGTATTTTGTTATGTGAATATACAGGTAGTACCATAATTGTTGTTTACATTGTATGTTGAACAAGTTACGTGTTCATTTTTAGTGGCAAAATCTTATCATTATACCCCTGCTACAAAAAAGACTGGTTATCAACTGACTGTGTTTCCATCCATCCCATGAAATTTGTATCATATATTTCTCTGAAACTACATATCCGAGCTTTCTGAAATTTGGAATCAAGCTTCATGTGAGCATGCTAATGTTTCCATTGCAGATATACAAGTTAAATAATTAGTAGTAAACATTTTCCCCTGATAACACGATAAGGTACATTTTTGTTCTTAAAAGCAAGTGAGATCAAGAGAAAAGTTAGAGAACAGAAATAATTTGCTTAGAACTTCAAGGGAGGTATTTTTTTCCAGGGAAATGCCAAAGATCTGTTTGGGACTTTTAGCAGCCTGAGGTATATACAAGTCATTCTCAAATGTGACATTTATTCCAGCTTTGCCCCTTTGTATATCAAAGTATTATGCTTGTCTTAAGACATCGCAAATGTATAGAAATGTCATTTACAATAACCATTAATGATTGTGTTTGGCATACCTAAGGGATTGAACATGTATTTTGTAAATATTATTATTTTATTACTGTAAATTCAGAAATTATTCAATATTGCGGGCATTTATTATTGCGATTAACAAAAATGTGAGTTTAATTATTGCGATTTTAGGAAAAGCGACATACAGATATATGTATTTGATATCAGAATGCAAGTACTTATTATTGCGATTCTCAAGTAGTTGCATTATTCACATTAATGAAAACCTCGAAATAATTTCTGAATTTACAGTATATGTGACAGATAGCTATTTTGTAGCATTTCATTTAGATTTAGATAAAAGTATTTTTGTTACAGGAAGAAGGGTGTGTTGGTCAAAAAATTTGTCCTGTGTTGGAAAAAGATATGGAAAAATTAGTAGAATTGTATGGAGAAGCAGCTATATCATACAGGTATCAGACAGAAATCACTGTTTTAGTGGAAGTTATATATTTGAAAATTTTTATCAAAATTTAAGTAGTTAAAATGCTGATAGATGTATGACCTATACATCTGAATACACAAGACATTTTTCATTGATTGATTGATCGATTGATTGATTGAATATTGCTTTATGTTTCACCTGGATGTGTCTGGTTATCTACCATTTATAAAGTATATATAATGAAAACTTATTTGATATCTTCAAGAATGAACACAATCTTTTTTGCAGATCATTGAAAAAGATAAAATTTTTGTGCGTATTGTCATCATAAGAGAAACAGATTTTACCACCCTTTCTCATGTAATTAGATATTTCTCCACTATGCACACTTGAATTTAAAAAAAATATATTTAAAACGCTTGGGGAGCCTTGTATTTGTTTTTTAATTTGAAAAAAAAAGAACCGTCTCTATATATAATTACAGATTATTAGATGCCATAGATGAGATAGATATACAGATTAATCTGCCACTTAGTTCTATTATTGATGTAAGTAACATTTTATTAATAACATTATTGAGATTCTTTTTCTAATTCTCTAGTCATTTAAAATGGTTTTGAAGAGTTGGAAAATAGTTATTGACCTTGCATTGATTAGATTATTGCATGTTATTTGCAGTCAAATCTAATTCAAAATATTATACTAGTGAGTTTTTATACGACCGCAAAAAAATTTTGTGGTCCTATATTGGTATGACAGTGGTGTCGTTGTCGTCGTCCGAAGACACATTGGTTTTCGCACTCTAACTTTAGTTTAAGTGAATGGATCTCTATGAAATTTTACCATAAGGTTCAATACCACAAAAGGAAGGTTGGGATTGATTTTGGGGGTTATGGAACTAACAGTTAAGGAATTAGGGGCCAAAAAGGGGTCAAAAATAAGTATTTTTGTAACTTCCAGACATAACTTGTGTCTTAGTTTTTGGATCTCTCTGACATTGTACCACAAGGTTCCATATCATAAAGGGAATGCTGGGATTGATTTTGGGGGTAATTGCCTCAACATTTTAGGAAAAAAGGGCCAAAAAACAAGCATTTTTCTGGTTTCATGACAATAACTTGTGTGTAAGTGTATGGATCTTTCTGAAATTGTACTACAAGGTTCCATATCACAAAGGGAAAGCTGGAATTGAGTTTGGGGGTAATTGCCCAAAACGTTTAGGAATAAGGGGCCAAAAATAAGCATTTTTCTAGTTTCCAGACAATAACTTGTGTTCAATTGTATGGATCTCTCTGAAATTGTACTGCAAGGTACCATACCACAAAGGGAAGGCTTGGATTGATTTTGGGGGGAATTGCCTCAAAATTTTAGGAATTAGGGGACAAAAAGGGGCAAAAAACAAGCATTTTTCTAGTTTTAGGACAATAACTTGTGTGCTTTTAAATTATGTATAAAGTAATGGTTAATGAACAATTAAGATAATTTAAAACAGTGTAAGGAAGGTAATTCAAATACAACGTTTTGGTTACTTCCCTTACACTGCTTTTAAATTATGTTTAAAGAAATGCATATTTATAAAGGAAGACCAGTAAAAATATCTGCAAATGTTGTTACAAAAAAATTCAAATGAATGATTTGACACTATATTTTAAATTCTATTATAAAATAGATTAAGTTAGCACTATGGTAAATTTAAATGGGTAATTATGGTTGCAAACTCCATTGGAAATTTGAATTGAGATTATGACCATATCTTGAGGGAAAGAATTTTTTGAGGGAAAAAAGGGGGGGGGGGGGGGGTAAAAAGAAATTGTGGGGGTCATTTTTTTCTCATTTCAGATTTCAGAAATTAAAAAGAATTATTCTTCAAATATTATTTTTTTTTCAAATTTCAAATATTGAAAAATTTCAAGAAGTAACATTTAATTGCACAGTATGGCGCATTAGATTTGTAAAATCTTTGACCACATTTATTTATTTGTTATGCCGAATCTAACCGTGTATTTAGATTTTTAATTTTGGGTCCAGTTTTCAAATTGGTCTACATTAAGGTCCAAAGGGTCCAAAATAAAACTTTGTTTGATTTTAACAAAAATTGAATATATGGGGTTCTTTGATATGCTGAGTCTAAACATGTATTTAGATTTTTGATTTTTGGCCTAGTTTTCAAGTTGGTCCAAATTGGGGTCCAAAATTAAACTTTGTTTGATTTCAACAAAAATTGAATATATGGGGTTCTTTGATATGCTGAATCTAGGTGTAATACCACCAAATCATAGTACGTCACATCCGGTTGCATACGAAAATAGGTCGAAAAAAAATATTCCCTTGAATTTGACAGTTGTAGGTAATTGATCCTACATTTCATTGCAGTAAAACATTTCTGAGTCATAAACATATATCTTGGGTATTTCAAAGCACCATTATTTCTTTATTTGGGGTTTCTATAGAATATTTTGGAAACTTGAGGTTACATGGTTACTAAAGCTTGTACACAGGTTAAAAAAGGGGGAAAATTTGATTGGTTAACTTCCAGTGATGGTTATTTTCTTATATGCAATGAAATGTTATGTGAAATTTTTTCTATAGTACTGGACAGGATAAAACTTTACTCATGCCAAGTATTTGTTTATTTGAAACAAAGATAAATTCTGCACAATTTTTTGAAAAGTGCAAATTTAACAAAGACTAATAGGGGAAAATCAATGGTGGTATTACACCTAATATGGGAAGCTGTACATGCACCTTTGACCTTGTGAGTACTCTCATGTGTTAAAATTTCTTGCTATTTAAGTGAAATATTACAAATAATGAAATATTCTGAGTGGATTGAGTCTCCAAAATACATTTTATGAGAAAATTTCCTTGAAATAGGACTTTGCCATGAATATTAGTTGACAGAACAAGCCATACTTAGAGTCTTGGGGAGCTTTTTCTCCTTATTTCTTATATTCTGCTATACTAGAAAATTTTTCCTAAGAAATACTTTAATAAATATATAGTTTTAAGTAAATGAAATTATTTTTAAAGCAGTAACAACAAATTATTCACCAAAAGAGAAGTTTTTTATGTCCTTCTCTGGAACGCGGCGTAAATTTAAGTTTTACGTAAGGACTTATTGAAACCTCCTTGGAGACAGTAAACTTTTATACGGATAGTTCATTCAGCTAGAATACTTCAATTAATCATTTATAATAACATTTCTATCATAAATGAGTGAAAGTTACCCCAAAATTTTTATTTATTGGCCTAAAAAGTAGAAATTTTGAGGAAATGAGAGGTATAAATGGTCCAAAAGAGACCTTATAAGGAAGACAAAGAGGTCCATTAGTAGTATTTATCATCCTAAAGTCATCTTTTGTATCATATTCAACTGTTTGTAGGCAGATGAGATAAATATTTGATCATTTATTGGTCCACACTATATTCTATCATGATGCGGCTTGGTTTGAATTTTTCGAAGAAATTTTGCTCGAATCGCTGTAGATGTCGTCTTACATTATACTAGATTTTTCTCAAACTATTGAACTGATTATGACAAAACTTGACAGGAATGCTTGAAATAACCAGTATTACAAAGGAAAAAAGTCACATTCAGTTTATTTAACAAAAAAGTCTTCTTTAGGTGTAATACCACCAAATCATAGTACGTCACATCCGGTTGCATACGAAAATAGGTCGAAAAAAAATATTCCCTTGAATTTGACAGTTGTAGGTAATTGATCCTACATTTCATTGCAGTAAAACATTTCTGAGTCATAAACATATATCTTGGGTATTTCAAAGCACCATTATTTCTTTATTTGGGGTTTCTATAGAATATTTTGGAAACTTGAGGTTACATGGTTACTAAAGCTTGTACACAGGTTAAAAAAGGGGGAAAATTTGATTGGTTAACTTCCAGTGATGGTTATTTTCTTATATGCAATGAAATGTTATGTGAAATTTTTTCTATAGTACTGGACAGGATAAAACTTTACTCATGCCAAGTATTTGTTTATTTGAAACAAAGATAAATTCTGCACAATTTTTTGAAAAGTGCAAATTTAACAAAGACTAATAGGGGAAAATCAATGGTGGTATTACACCTCTAACCATGTATTTAGATTTTTTATTTGTGGACCCCGATATCAAATTGGTTCATATTGAGGTCAAAAGGGTCCAAAATTAAACTTCGTTTGATTTCATAAAAAATTGAATTATTGGGGTTCTTTGATATGCCAAATCTAACCGTGTATTTAGATTTTTAATTTTGGGTCCTGTTTTTAAAATTGGTCTACATTAAGGTCCAAAGGGTCCAAAATTAAACTTTGTTTGATTTTAACAAAAATTGAATATATGGGGTTCTTTGATATGCTGAATCTAAACATGTATTTAGATTTTAGATTTTTGGCCCAGTTTTCAAGTTGGTCCGAATTGGGGTCCAAAATTAAACTTTGTTTGAATATATGGGGTTCTTTGATATGCTGAATCTAACCATGTATTTAGATTTTTTATTTGTGGGCCCCGTTATCAAATTGGTTCATATTGAGGTCAAAAGGGTCCAGAATTAAACTTTGTTTGATATCATCAAAAATTGAATTATTGGGGTTCTTTGATATTCCAAATCTAACCGTGTATTTAGATTTTTAATTTTGGGTCCCTTTTTTTAAATTGGTCTACATTAAGGTCCAAAGGGTCCAAAATTAAACTTAGTTTGATTTTAACAAAAATTGAATTCATGGGGTTCTTTGATATGCTGAATCTAAACATGTGTTTAGATTTTTGATTATGGGCCCAGTTTTCAAGTTTGTCCAAGTTGGGGTCCAAAATTAAACTTTGTTTGATTTCAACAAAAATTGAATATATGGGGTTCTTTGATATGCTGAATCTAACCATGTATTTTGATTTTGGACATTGGACCATAATAGGTAAATTAAAAAAAATCAAGTTCTTAGACCACATTCTTTCTGTGTCAGAAACCTATGCTGTGTCAAATATTTAATCACAATCCAAATTCAGAGCTGTATCAAGCTTGAATGTTGTGTCCATACTTGCCCCAACTGGTCAGGGTTCGACCTCTGCAGTCGTATCAAGCTGCGCCCAGCGAAGCATTTTATTCTAGTTTCCAGACAATAACTTGTGTTCAAGTGTATGGATCTCTCTGAAATTGTACTGCTAGGTACCATACCACAAAAGGAAAGCTGGGAATGAGTTTGGGGGTGATGAATCATAAGGGGGTTAAAAAAAATTTGGGGGAGGGATTTTTTTTTCCTTTTTTTCCTTTTTTTTTCTTTAATATTTTCCATTTTAAATTGGTTATTTCTGATTTATATATAAAAGCAAATAATAATGATATGGTTTGAATAGGTAAATTAAAAAAATTTAAGTTCTTAGACCCCATTCATTCTGTGTCAGAAACCTATGCTGTGTCAAATATTTAATCATAATCCAAAGTCAGTGTGTATCAAGCTTGAATGTTGTGTCCATACTTGCCCCAACTGTTCAGGGTTCGACCTCTGCGGTCATATCAAGCTGCGCCCAGCGGAGCATTTTATTGTTCAATAATGTGATAAACAAATTCTATCATTTTACCTGAATTTTGTCACACCTGCAACAAAAGTCACAGAAGTAAGACATATCGATCATCCATTCCCTTGTCAACCAAGATTTAGGTTCAGTCTGTGATTCAAGTTCTTTACACTTCAATTACTTTGTCAAACGTTCATGGAATTTTACATAACTTTGACAAAACCTTCTTTTTGATGAAAAGACAGTATCCAGTGCAATATTTTGAAAGCATTATTTTGATTTATCTATAGTTAACTGGACTTGCAGATAATATTTACATCTTTTATATTTTTTGCAGGCCCCTGTAGCAGAAGCATGGAAACTAAATAAGGAAGAACCACTAAGTGTTTGTCTTCATTTGTCATATACAAATTATCTCGACATCCCAAGTAAGTTTATTTGGAAAATAACAAAGTCAACATATTTGAATAATTATATATATTATATCAATCAACATATATTTCATAACCTTACAGGCATTTCACTTTAAGAATGTGAATAATTATAATTAGTTGTGTAGGTGGTATAGCCAAGAAAATAAAACATCATATTTTGTTCTGGTCATCACACATCCAAATAAACAACAACTCTTCCACAACTTGAGTTTGCACAAATTCTTTTGTATTACTGAAAGTGTTGCACTACCTTTTTTATTGCATTGGTGGCCTTTTCCAAGTCGTGGACTTTGATATTGGTGGCAATGAATTTTGCCATGCCATTTAATGAAAAGCGGCTGTACATGTATAAGCAGCACATGTTTTCCATTGAAGACTTAAGTATTACATTCCGATAATGTGTCCATCCTTCACTTATTTTTTATTTTGTCAGGTCCGCCAAAAGTGGAAGTTTTCCAGACATCTAGAAATGAAAAGAATGGGATCTCAAGTCAAATGAAAAAGTAAGTACCTGAACTGTAGTTTGCACCAAATGTTTTTGTTAGTCCCCTACCAACGAAGTCGAAGGAGACTTTAGGTTTGCACTCTGTCTGTCTGTCCGTCTATCTGTCAGTCCGGCAAATCAGTTTTCCAGACTTTTTTTCTTCGTGCTTGAAGATATTGATTTGATATTTGGTTTATTGTTTTATCATGACAAGTTACAGATCAAGTTCAATTTTCACGATTTTAGCTTTTCTCTTTGTTCAGTAAAAGCCCTTTCTCTAGAATTACATTTTTGATGAAATACTTATTAATTAGTAGTTTTCTGTTCAAAGGGAAATAACTCATTTTTTAAAAGGCAAAATATAATTTTTGGATTTTTTTCCTTTTCTTTGGTAAATTGTTTGAAGAATTTAGTGGTAGGTTTGTTTGTCATTCTTGAAGATATTGATTTGATAATTAGTATATAGTTTTATCATGACAAGTTACAGATCAAGTTGGAATTTTGTTCCGGTCTGATGATTTTGTGCAGAGTTATGGTCTTTGGACATAGATAATTCACTTAAATAATCAGTTTTCAACAGTTTTTTTCGTCATGCTTGAAGATTTTGACTTGAAATTTTTATGTAGTTTACACCATGACAAGTTATAGATCAAGTTAGAATTTCATTCCATTACAATGAATTTTTAACCAGTAGGGGACTATGTATTGCCATGCAATACTCACAGAATGCTTGTTTTAATAGAATTTAATGCTGAGTTGAAGATGACGCATTACTGTGGGATACCAATATTCGTTGATTTCGTAGTACAGTCGATTCCACTTAATTGCATACCGCTTAATAGCATAATTCGGTTAATTGCATACTTTTCTCCTGCACAAAACCATTTCCCATTCATCTAATGTTAAATTGTCCGGTTATATGCATAGACTTACAAGTGGCCTTTCGGTTAATTGCATAGAAAATATTCGCCAGCTAGATATGCTTAGTTAAAACTGACGAGATTTTTTACCGGAAACGGCAATTTGGTAAGTATATTTTTCTTGAATGCATCATAATTTTCGTTATTATTTCATATTTACTTTTGTGTTATCTAAATAAAGTTTTAAAACAGTTTCTTTCGTGTTTATATGATTATAAAATAAGCCTCGATGTGTACACAGGTAAAGTTTCCCATGTTCTATTTTAAGCCTCGAGGTCATAAAAATGTCAAACAGGTGATTGTTGTAAAAACACGTCCAATCTATCTCAAAAGGTGTTAATTATTGATTGGATTTCAAACATTGTTCATAGATTACATTTGGGGTGAATTTTAAAAACAATAACCCGTTAATTATCGATCATTATCCAATGTGTACTCTCGTAATTCGGCTTGGGGTGATCTACACTTATGTTAAATATTACAGGGCATTTATATATGGTTGAAGAATTTTATACATCAATCTTTTATTTTTAATATTTTTTGAAAAGAAAATCAACTTCTAATTATTATATTTTCTCTCTTTCAACACTCGTGTCCTGCAAATAACCCGTACAGGGCCCCATTACCTGTTAACTGCTTTGCATATACGAAACTAACGAGGTTAAAGAAACAGTGTAACATCACTGTGCAAGCGGTAAATACTGTATATCAAAGGCAGTTTAGTACACATTTATTGTTTAAAATGATTATAAACTGTGTAGTATTGTTAAACAGTTAATTTAATCAAAGCGTAACAATGTACATTGTACATCCGGGTCATAGAAACAAATCTATTTTTAGAACAATTAGTTTTATTTTCGTATCTCAGGTAAAGGAAAAGTCGGTACGTAAATAAACTAAAACAAAATGTGTTTATAAACTTTATTGAAAGAATACAAAATAAAATAACATGTATAACACTAGACACATAACTTTTATTAGAATAAATAAGCATTCAATATGTTGTAAGTGGATTATGGACGTTCATCTTTCTTCAGGGATTTCCTTTACTGATCTGTACTATCGTCGTGTATCGATGTTATTTGACTCCGTAATTTGGCATTTCGGATATAAGCATACTCCGCTTAATTGCATAATTTTGTCTGACAAATAGGCTATGCAAATAACCGGAATCGACTGTATAGGTTAACCATGAGTTTAAATGTTTGTCGAAGGGGAAATTTTTTATGCAGACTATAGCAAAACCAGGAAAGCAAATATCAACGAATATACAATTTTTCTTCAATCCAGGGAAATTGGTAATCATAAAAATAAGTGAATCCACACTATGCATAACTAGACATAAAGGCTAAAAGAAAAAAAACTTACCATATTACTAGCTTAAAATAGGACATTTCTCTTATTTTTCATTTTTTTTTTTCACATTGTGTTTTCCTGGGGCCTATTATAGTTTCCTATACTGTTCTTGGATTTGTTCATTGTTGAAGGCTGTATAGTAAATTGTAGATGTTTACATACTTGTCCTTTGGTCTTTAGTGGATAATTGTTTAATTTGCATTCATACCATATCTTTTTTTGTGTGTGCAAATATTTGTTTCATAAGTTTTGTCTTGTCCTAATGAGACAGTAGTTTTCAGAGTAAATGCTGTCTCATTCTGACAAGACAGGACTAGTATTCTGTACATGAATTTAAAAAAGTGCTATGCTTATTGAGATTTTTACCCACTGAGAGAGAGATAAGTTTATGCATGATACATGTATATTTGTCAAAGAACATTAAGCAAACAACAATTAATCATTATATACAATGCAGTGGTTTAACATGATAAAATTTGTAGAGCCCCTGGTACCTTCTTTAAGGAACCTGAGGTCCTCAAATTTTTTTAAACAGATATGATTTCTGTTGCTTTGAAAAAATGTTTTTATAAAAATGATTCACCATAATTTTTACACAATATTTGGCAGTATTTTATTAACAGTCAAAGTTATATAATCTTTCAGCTGCTAAACATTGCAATGAATTGCTTTAAAATAAATTGCCATCAAGCAGCTCTGATATGGTTTGTTAAGAAGAATTTTCAACAATCAAACACTTTCAAACTTGATTGATAGACATTTATACCCACAGAATGGTAAACAATTAACATGCATGAAAATGAAAATGCAATGTCAAAAAATCACTTAGATACAAAAGTTTATAATATTTTATATAAATAGCAAAAAGTAAAATCACAAAAATACTGAACTCCGAGGAAGATTCAAAACGGAAAGTTCCTAATCAAATGGCAAAATCAAATGATAAAACACATCAAATGAATGGACAACAACTGTCATATTCCTGACTTGGTACCGTCATTTTCAAATGTAGAAAATGGTGGATTGAACCTGGTTTTATAGCGCTAAACCTCTCACTTGTATGACAGTCGCATCAAATTCCATTATATTTATGTATTCACAGAATTTTCATATTGTATGTAGCAATTTACAAATTGATGTCTTTGTAGGGTAATGGAAACTTTTGTATTTCATCAATGGCCTAAAAATAGTAACAGAATGATTGATGAATATCATAAGCGGCATGAAATTGTTGTTAACCAAGTAAGGTATGTCACTGAAAAGTATGTTCCCAAAAATTGATGGAAACCACTAAACAGTTTTTCTCTTATTTTCATGCTATTTTGAAATTCAAATTTTTTGATTGGTGTGAGAAAAACATTTTTCATCTCTAGAGAAGACTTTGTTCTCGGCAATTGATTGGTTGAAAATCAATTATGACGTCAAATTTTCTTGATTTCTTCTGAATTTCCTATTCTGACATCATGAAAAAAGATGACCATGTCTGATGACGTCATGAAAAAAGATGACCATGCCTGATGACGTCATGAAAAAAGATAACCATGCCTGATGACGTCACATAAAAAGAACACAAATTTCTGAAAATCTTTGTAAAGGAAGGATAAACTGTGTTTAGATATAGTCTAAAAATCATTAGAGAAACAGATTCCACCACTATATCTTGTGTATTACGACATTTCTCCACTCTCAACAGTTAAATTTTTAAAATTTTAACTGTCTTGAGTGGAGAAATACTGTCACACACTTGATGCAGTTGTGGAAACTATATATCTTGTATGGACAAGGAAATATGGCACAAATTAGAAACAAACTCGTGAAAATATCTATATTTATGTATAAAAAAACACAAAAAACATGAGTGGTTTTGAGGAAAATGCTTGCTCAAAGATAATAGAATATAATTTAGAATGTGACAGTTTTTCTTTTACTGGTATTTGAAAATGAAAATAACATGTCATAAATTTGGTGTGTCCAAGGCACTTTTCTGGATCTTTTTTCATCAGGATCGCTCAAAAACAAAAAATTGAAAGCCAGGGATTTGTAAATACTTGAGGAGTTAATGACAAAATGGGACCTGAACAGAATAGCTGAAACTTTCTCCTTCTATGGACATAAACTTTCCTTTTTGTCAATTTTCAAATACATTTTGTATTCCCTGTTTACAAAATTTACTTGTGTGTATTTCACCTTTAACGAATAGTATATTTCTACCAGTGATGAAGAGGCAGCTTCAATGATTGAGGATAAAGATTTAGCCAGGATTATGGAGATTGGATTTTCGGCAGAACAAGCTAGGGATGCTTTAATTCTGAGTCGGGGAGATTTTTTAGAGGCCATTAATCATTTATTTGCTAATAAAGATAGGTAAGTATGTATTTCATAGATGCTAGTTTTATTGGTTAAAGAAATGGGGGGATGGGGTATATATATTTTATGCTCTGCATCTGATAATTTATCTATCATGATTCAAGTTAAAGTTTTGGGTTAAGGTAGTTTTCAAACTATGAAGTTGTGGTCATATCTACTTAAAACTTAATGCACTTGTTTATTATGAAGTGAACTTTTTAAGATATACGCCGAATTATGTTTGTAACAAAGATTTCATAGTTGAACATGGAAAGAGTATAATGTGATCAAGCTATGGTGTCCTTTTAATGGGCTTCTTCATGAAATTAGATTGCTAACTGATTTCTAAGGGCTGTTCCAAAATTTATCAAGTGGGGGGATGAGATCTTGATATCTACTAGTATATTTAATGTATAATGAAATTTTATGGTGTTTAATGTTTCTGAAGAAGGCCTTAGCTACATTATAACATTTGGTTTTGTAATTGTTATTTGATGTGCACATCTGATACCAGGTTCAATTATTTCATTTATTGTTCAAAACTTTTTTGTTTTTAAAGTATATGATTAAAGAATGTTTGAAAAAATTATAAAAGGGATGTGTAGATCATGACATTCATGTAAAAATAAAATGAATTGAAATTTTGTTAACTACTAGTTTACAGACAGAGACTAAAACAACAAAGAAAGAAGATAAGAAAGTGAGAGATTTAAAAACAACAGAAAGACAGAGTTCTGTGCCGAATGAAAATAGAAAGAAGAAAAATATATTTAGACAAATAAGTCATGGCAGTGCTGGTTCTAGAAAATCTAATGAACTTTCTTTAACAGCTGATTTACATTTAAAACCGTCATCAACCTGGTTTGGTAAAAATTCCAAAAGAATTCCCGAACCTGAGTTTGGATTTCTTGTCCAGGTATGATTTATTATAGTTTATTAAATTCCTACCTTAATTAATCATGTGATCACTAAAATTATCAAGATGTAGGTACAAAATTTATCAAACAACTGAATTGCTTGAAAATTTTTTAGAACGCATATAAACAAAATATTAATTATAGAAGACTCAACACTTTCATATTTAAGTATAGTACAAATTTATATAGATATAAATTAAAGGATATGTTACTGAAATTGAATGAGTGTTATATTGTTTGTTTCATTAGATGGAGTATGCCAACATTGAATGAGATCTCTATTGTCTATTTATAGATATTTCAGTCTTCCAGGCAGAGATTACCAACTTTAAATGAGATTTATATTGTCTATTTAAAGATATTTCAGTATTTCAGGCAGAGATTACCAACTTTAAATGAGATTTATATTGTCTATTTATAGATATTTCAGTATTCCAGACAGAGATTACCAACTTTAAGCAAGATTTATATTGTCTATTTATAGATATTTCAGTATTCCAGACAGAGATTACCAACTTTAAATGAGTATTGTGTTGTTTGTGATGAACCACATGTCTTTCAAAATGGAGCTATGCTTAAGGTTTGTTATGTAGCATTTATTATTTATTATTGATGCTACCTGTCTACAATTATGTATTTTTCTTGAGCATAAACAAATTGAGATCATGAGAACTATGCAAATTCAATGTTGAATACTCTAAATACAAGATTTTGAAGTGTCTTGGTTCTCTCTAAGCACTCTGGCTTCCTCCACCAATAAAAACTGATTGCCATGAAATAGCCAATAGTGCTGAAAGTGGTGTTAAACACCTATTAATCAATCAATCAATTGAAGATTCTTTCCTGATCCCATGTATGTTTTTATAGCCATTTTGGTTTATCTATTTATTTTTTTGTGAGTTTATTCTTATTTTGCATGTTTAGAACTCATTTATACTTTGAATGCAATCATGGCTCATCAATCCTACAAGACCCTCCTATATGGAAATTCTGTTTTATATAAGTATATGCTCTTTTGGTCTGATTGGAATAAAGCTATTGCCATATTTTTTTCATTTAAGGATAGCACATGTGTGCTTTGTATCATAATTGTATACATACAACATTCTAGACTTATTTTATCTTATTTTGTTTTTGTCTGCCTTTTGTGATTTCATATTTCAATCATTTGGAAGACAAGAGAAGAATGATCAGATAAGATTTTGAAAAAAGGAACTATTTCAATAAGCAAGATATATTTTACCTGGCAAAGTATAACAAATTATATTTTTTTCATTACAGTTTTAATTTTTGTGAAATGTCAAGTTCTCTTTTATACTTCAAGCTGTTGAAGTTTCATAATATTTTCCAACCATTTATAAAAGTTTATACTTATACTGTGTTGAATTTTAGCCAGCAGTATGTTCCAGAGAGTTATGTATATTTGCCTTCCAAACCTTAGGTGTTATGAGTGATGCTGCTGAAGACATTGCCACTGGTGCTGAGGTTCGTATTATTCTCATTACAGAACCGGAAACTAATTTCTTCAAAGAATCTGATGAAAAAAAATTTGATTTGTCATGATCATTTCCATCTAACTTTGGATCAACTTTGATTGTAAAAAAGAGGTGGAAAATAATGTGGGGACATTCAAAACTCATAAGTCTACGAAAAAACTGACAATGCCATGGCAAAATACGAAAACAACGAAAAAAGGCGAACGAATCAAAACTCTACATAGAAAAATAAAGATCGAGCAGCAGAAACTCCACCAAAAACCAAAGGTGAACTCAGGTGCTCCAGAAGGGTAAGCAGTTCTTGCTCCACATGTGGCACCCTTCGAGTAAGATATTTACTGATATATTAAAAAAATCGTCATAGTTAGATGATATTGTATAAGAACGAGATTTACAATACAAAAATTACTGTTATATAAATCACCAAGGGGAACTTTTCACCAAAAATTTACTATTCAAATAAATTGTAAGTTATATTTAAATGATGGATTATGAATATTTTTTGGGGTCTTGTCTGGAAGAAGAAATTATCTGAAATTTCTCTGTATTTGTGCTCACTTTTGCCATATATAAAGACAGTGTCATTGCAGATGCAATGAAATAGAATTAAAAAAAAAGTGTTTTACTAAATGAAGATATCTACTTATTATATTGTATGCTCAAGTAGTCACAAAAAACACAACCAAAGAAAATAAAAAAGGATTTTATATTACACAAAAAAATACACAAAAGAAATAGATTTTTATCAGCGATAATCATTTCAATATATTTTTGAAATGCACACTTCAAAAGAAATAGATTTTTATAGCGATAATCATTTCAATATATTTTTGAAATGCACACTTCAAAAGAAATAGATTTTTATCAGCGATAATCATTTCAATATATTTTTGAAATGCACACTTCAAATTTTTTTTATTATAAGTTATTGTTATTTTGTTTTTCTTTATTCAATTGCAGGTTGTAGATTTATTATTAACCATGACAAAGGCTGCAAGTAAACATAATAGACGCAACATAATATTTGACCCCTATCCAACAGTTGTAGATCCTAGTGACCCTAATGAACTAGCTTTAAATCCAAAAGTAAGTTCTAGCTGCATTGAAAGAAATAAATATTTGGATTATTGATAAATTTTCAAATCTATGATTAAACCATGCAGACAATTAAAAATTATTTCAAATTAAGGAAAACACTTGTTATTTTTTTTTGGGAGGGGGGGTTTGAAATTTGAAATTTCTGGGTCTAAACCTGTTCACTAGGTTATATTTGCTAGTTTTTCATGTCCCTGTTTGTGATCTTACTTACAGATCAAATTTATGGGAGGTTATATAATTTTGCAATTTATGTTAATAACAAGTTCAGGTAGATTAATCTTTGATATTAGATATTTTACATGAGGATTTCTGTAAGAAAAATAAGAAAATTTTACATCATAACTCATCAAAGTTACCAGGGGTATGATTTATTACACCTGGCGTGTGTTTTCTACATAAGATTCATCAGTGGCGCTCTATATCAAAACAGTTAGAATGCCAAATTAAAAACAAAGTTAAAAGAACATTAAAAACCAAAAATACTGAAAAATTTTGTCAAATACAGCTAAAATAATATATGCCTGGGAGTAGACAAACCTTAGTGTTTCAAATGATTCAAATTAGTTTTTGTCGAGCCTGAAACTTCTGTCGCAGAAAGCTTGACATAGGGATAGTGATCTGGCGGCGGTAGCAGCATCATTAACTAACTACTTTAAAGCTTTATATTTTAGAAGGTGGAAGACCTGGATACTTCATATGCATTAGGTCAACTATATTTGATGTATGGAAATATTTTACGATGTACATGTCAGTCTGGCCGGTTTTATTTGACCTTGACCTCATTTTCACAGTTCATAGCTCAGTGTTAAGTTTTTATGTTTTGGTCTGTTTTTTAACCGGATTTTCAAAGGAAAAATTGGTTATTGATTTGGGGATGTACGGCAGGCGGACAGGCGCGCGGGCGGCTGCCAAACAGTGTCCATTCATTATCTAAACTATAAGCAATAGGTCAACTATATTTGGTGTATGGAATGATTGTAAGGTGTATGTTTCTGTCTGGCAGGTATCATCTGACTTTGACCTCATTTTCATGATTCATTGGTCAATGTTAAGTTTTCATGGTTAAGTTTGTTTCTTAGATACTATAAGCAATATGTCAACTATATGTAATGCATAGATTAATTGTAAGGTGTACATGTCTGTCTGGCATGGTTCATCTGACCTTGACCTCATTTTCATGGTTCATTGATCAATGTTAAGTTTTCCTGGTTAAGTTCGTTTCTAAGAAACTGTAAGCAATAGGTCAACTATGTTTGGAGTATGGAATGATTGCAAGGTGTACATGAATTTCCGGTTTGGTTTATCTGACCTTGACCTCATTTTCTTGGATCATGTTAAGTTTATGTGATACTTGTAGTAAAGCTTTATATTTAGAACTATCAACATAAAATCAATGGTCAGTAAAGCATTTCAGTGTTTGCACTATTTTTTTTTTTTTTGTAGGCTTTATCAAACTTAGTGAGAAATATTTTTTTTTATGTTGCAGAGTAAAGATTATGATGCAGTAGATAAAATATTGAAGCATGTTATGTCAATGGAACAAATGACAGCATTGTCTTCCAGTGATATAAAAAAAACATTAGATTCTAAAAATAAATTGTGCTATCCTTTACTTCAATGGTGAGTATAGATTCTAAAAATAAATTGTGTTATCCTTTACTTCAGTGATGAGTATAGATTCTAAAAATAAATACATCAGTGGTAAGTATAAGATTGGAAGAATAAGTTATGTTATCCTTTACTTCGGTGGTGAATATAGATTCTAAAAATACATTGTTTTATCATTCACTTCTGTGGAAAGAACAGATTTTGAAAATAAATTATGTTATCATTTACTTCAGTGTTTAGCACAGATTAAAATAATAAATCGTGTTATCCTTTACTTCAGTGGTGATTACAGACTCAAGAAACACCTACACTTATTTGGCCATTGACAATCTAATCTCTAATTTGGACATGTCCAATTCAAACTATTGGGCTACAAAGGAAAAATGAAAACAGTAGAAAATGAAAGGATATGGAGTAAATGTACATTGGACAAAATTGAACACAATACATAGAAAACATAGAAAATTATCAATGAACAGGGCTTTTATTCCTGTTCTTCATCTTGACAGTTGGTGTAGGGTCTTCAACAATGAACGAATTATTCATACCCTACAACAAGGTCAAGACGGCCCCTAGTACATGTATTACTAATTGGACATACACATGATTAAAAGGAGATGTTGTGGTATTCACATCAATAAGACAGCAACTGAATAATGTAATAAAACCAAGCAAAAAACATCTAGAGGTCAAATGTTTACATGTCCTTAAGGTGAAACTTGAATTTAAGCTGCCATGTTGTTAATTGGTATAAAAGCCTGGTGGATACAATAAAATAACTCGCCAAAAATCACTAATGGATGCAATGCTTGTAACCTTTCATATAGTAAAGGATTGATTAAGAAATGTATTTTTATACATGTCTATTCACGATCACCTATTCAATATTATATCATATGTGTAATAGAAATATTTCTATATTATCAGTTTTTATGTAGCATTTATGGGTAAAAAATTACAACAAGCTTTTGATTTAGCTTTGTTTATGTTATGTTTAACAATAATTCATTTCTTGATAACTAAAACCATGCCCCAAGTTTAGACTTACATGAGGTAAATTCAACTTTATATGGGAACTTGCTCATTTCATCAATGTTAAGTTTATATGAGGATCTGGATGAGGTCTTTGATTCTTTATATTTTAGCACCATATTATTTTCCATTCTTTATTATTTATTTTATCCATTATTCTCTATTCTGTTATTCCCATCCAGACCCTCTTTGTATGGAAAATCACAATTTGCCTTGGGAATGCACTCAAACTTGGAAGAAATGGATCTAATATAAGTATTATGTTTTCAGGATAATTACCAGTAATAGATCTCATATTGTAAAATTAACCCCAGAAAAGGTAAGTGGTATATATTATACTTACATTTTAGTTTAGTTTTACTGGTTATTTTTAAAAGGTATTTGCCTGTTATTGCCTATTTTTCGACTGATTGATTACCTGAAATAGAGCACACAAGTTTTTTGTTGATTTTTCATTCTTTAAATGTTTCAAGATCAAGACTTTTAGTAAAAGTATGTTTTTTTGCTTGATTTTATATCAAAAACTGTTATATGCCATATGGAAATGAATTGCTAAATATCAGCCCTATTTCAAATGCAAAACAGACTGCTTTTTCCAAAATTTTAACCCAATTTTCCAATTAATAAACTGCCCAAAACCTAAAATAAGTCTACCAAACGATATGTAAAGTGGGCGAAATTGCATTAAAATAATTTGTGTGTTTGAATTGTAGAAATTTTTTATTCTTTCTAATTGATAGAGAATACCTTTCATGAAGACACCATTCCAGTATTTGTTACTCAGCAGTCCACCAGCAAAAGAGGCAGCATTCAGAGAAGCTAAAGAAAAATATGGCAGTACTTTTGCTTTTCAGTATGTAGATTATCAGTAGTATATAAAAATAAGGAGATGTGGTATGATTGCGAATGAGACAGCTATCCACCAAAGTTCAAATTAAGAGGATGTAAGCAATTATAGGCAGCCGTACGGCCTTCCACAATTAGAAAAACCCATACCATATAGTTGGCTATAAAAGGCCTGACATGAAAAATAAGAAACAATTCAATTGAGAAAACTAATGGCCTAACAAAACAATTTAGGAAAGACAAATATGACAGACATGAACTAACAACAACCACTGAACTGAGGTATACTGAGGATTTATTATTATTTCGTGGAATTTGTGACATGGGTAAACCATGCATTAAAATGTTCAACAATGTTAAAATTTTCTTTAGGCCTGTATGCAAACTTTGGCAAAACCATGAAAATACAATTTTTTTTTTCAATCATCAAAAATTTGTATCCGCAATATTAAATGAATGCACAGTAATTTATAAATTGCTGAAAAATTGGTGGTCAGCCAGGGCTTCCAAAAAATACTTGTGCCAGCTGGACATTTTTTGTCTTATTCCGATTTTAATCCTTAAAGACCAAGTAACAAAAGACAATCATGGTAATCAGTTGGGTATCATATAAACAATGATTGACTTAAAAAAGATATTAATCTTGACTTTTGGTACAAATTTCGATGTACTGACGTAAACACTTAAATTGACAGTGCATCATTCGAAGTGTGCAACTTTAGCGTACTAATATCTGCTTTAGAATCTTTATTTGTGCAAAATTACGTTGTCTAAATCTTTACTTTCGTTTTGAGAAGGCACATTTTCTTATACCAGATGTTGACTTGACAATGGTAAAACACAGACCAGAGACGGATACGTTGAATCCGTGTATGTTTACAAAGCACAGTTGAGTTTAAGAAGCTTTCCACGTTATTTCTTCAAGAAAGTATTTGAAATGAACGATATTATAATGGTATCAATGATAATTTTAGCATTTTTGAAGAATTCAGATGCGTAATTAAATCTCACAACTTTGCACATAAGCACGCGTGTACTAGTTCAAACAATGTGGTTCTGACGATTTTTGGCTTAAAACCTTAATAACTACTGTTTAAAAAATTTCATCAAATCATATTTATATACGTATTTTTGATAATCTAAGTCTTTTTGACTAAATTAGTTAGATTCAAACCACTGAAATTTATGAAAATAACTTCAAATAAACCAATCAGTGTCCAGTACATATTAGTTAACCTGTCACCTGAACAGGTAAATTTCAGCTGTCTGACAACTAATTAACCTTGATTGTAATGAGAGGGTATTAAAGTAGGGGTTGTTTTGATAGTACTTAATCACCATGTCACTTTTATGACCGGAAACGTGGCTGTTTAAGGCAAAAGGTCAAGTCGAAAAGATCGAAAAAACTTTGATCTTTTTCTGAATTTATATGTTAAAATGGCAAACCCACGTTAAATGTCAATTTCACGTTCAGCACAACAAGTCATAAATATAATTTATCGGACAGGTCCGGACAATACGACCATTTTGGAAGTCCTGTGGTCAGCTCAGAGATATGAACAAGTGCAACTTTTCCTATCTAATGGCAGATTTTTTACAGTCAAGTCTTAGTAATTTACTTTTGAGGTTCTATAAGAACTTATAAAATTTAACATGTCTTTTGAAAACATGCAGTTTGTTTTGATAATGGATAAAAAAAAACTAAAAAGTATGGAACTTATCAAAAGAAAAAATTAGGCTTCGAATTGATATGAAATTAACACTTTCTGACAAAAGTTTTATGGGAAGATATTTAATTTATATATGTTATGAATAACTAGACTGGAAATTCTTAAATCAACTCAAAAATCTAAGCTCATCAACCTAATGTCTGATAATTTTACTAAATGAGAGACAACTATTGTATGTATGGATGAATGGAAACAATGCAGAGTTATCTCCCATGCAGTTTTTGAAAGGTTTATTGATTTTTGATTGCTTGACTTCCAGTGGCAGATATTTCATGTATGTTCAGGATGAGAACAAATTAACAATACGTACAAAAGGTAGGTCCTGCAATTAGGATTGACCAGAATACTGTATCACTAGCCAGTCATCACTAATGTTGTGAGTTCGAACCTCACAAATGGCAGGTGTTTTCAACTTCAATCTTAATTTACTAGGATTCTTAATTTTCCTGCTGAAGACTAATGGTTCTTTCCAGGCACTCTGGCTTTCTCCACCATTAAAAGCTGACTGCCATGAAATAGCCAATAGTGCTGAAAATGGGATTGGGTACAAAATTATCAATTAATCAATTTAATATTTTTGCAGTGGTTCTGCTGTAGAAAACTGGCATTCTATAATAAGACAGGGTTTAATAGTAGCATCAGGAACCAATAAACAGGTTAGTGTGAAGATTAGATATAGAAATTAGAACTTGAAATCATTGCTAATGGCATGACAATCCAACAAAGATCAAAAGAATGAAAATATTATATTAACACGTATTGAATAATATTTGATGACCACAGAATCTATTAAATTATTTAAAATGGAGAAGTGAACTTGAGTAATTTTCATTGAAAATATGATTGAATGTTTACATTCTCACAAATTAAATATAGAATCACCTCCTGTTGCCTGTTGGTTACCATGAACAATATTTCTAAGTACTACAGAACAAAATAACTTCATATTTGTCAGCAGCTTGGCAGTGATGTGTTGTAATGTGTGAGCACTTTATGTCGGTCACAAACTTCCTGTTTACCAAAACTTTGAGTTACGAATAGGGGTATGCAATGCACGGCAACGTGTGTATTTTTGTTCTTTTATGGAATGATTTTCAAATTTCACAAGATGATATTGGTTTATTTGATTATAGGTGAATGGTGCAGCTTATGGGAAAGGAATCTACTTAAGTCCTAATGCAGGGACATCATTTGGTTACTCTAGAATGTATGCTGGTGGTGGAGGCAAAAAGCAATCTGAGGTAAGTTAAAAATGCTAGTGACGAATGAAGCTGATTACAATTTTTGTATGTATGACGTTGGCATCGTCGTCATCTGAAGACACATTGGTTTTCGCACAATAACTTTAGTTTAAGTGAATGGATCTCTATGAAATTTTACCATAAGGTTCAATACCACAAAAGGAAGGTTGGGATTGATTTTAGGGATTATGGTACCAACAGTTACGGAAAAAGGGGCCAAAAATAAGCATTTTTGTCGAGCTTCGACTTTTGTCAAAAAAGCGAGACATAGCGATCCTACATTCCGTCGGCGGCGGCGGCGTCCACAAATATTCACTCTGTGGTTAAGTTTTTGAAATTTTAATAACTTTCTTAAACTATCCTGGATTTCTACCAAACTTGGATAGAAGCTTGTTTATGATCATAAGAGAGTATCCAGAAGTAAATTTTGTAAAAAAAATATCCTGTTTTTCCGTATTTTACTTATAAATGGACTTAGTTTTTTTGCCAGGAAACATTACATTCACTCTGTGGTTAAAGTTTTTAAAATTTTAATAACTTTCTTAAACTATCCTGGATTTCTACCAAACTTGGACAGAAGCTTGTTTATGATCATAAGAGAGTATCTAGAAGTAAATTTTGTAAAAAAAATATCCTGTTTTTCCGTATTTTACTTATAAATGGACTTAGTTTTTTTGCCAGGAAACATTACATTCACTCTGTGGTTAAAGTTTTTAAAATTTTAATAACTTTCTTAAACTATCCTGGATTTCTACCAAACTTGGACAGAAGCTTGTTTATGATCATAAGATAGTATCCTGAAGTAAATTTTGTAAAAAAAAAATCCCTATTTTTCAGTATTTTACTTATAAATGGACTTAGTTTTTCTGCCAGGAAACATTACATTCACTCTGTGGTTAAAGTTTTTAAAATTTTAATAACTTTCTTAAACTATCCTGGATTTGTACCAAACTTGGTCAGAAGCTTGTTTATGATCAAAAGCTAGTATCTTGAAGGAAATTTTGTTAAAATTTTGTACCTGTTTATCCGTATTTTACTTATAAATGGACTTAGTTTTTCTTCCAGTTAACATTACATACAGTCTGCAGTTAGAGATTTAAAACATTTATTAGATTCATAAACTATCCTGGATTTTTACCAAACTTGGACAGAAGCTTCTTACAATCAAAAGATTGTATCGAAAGGAATATTGTTATTATTTTTTTCCTCATTTTTGTTGAGCCTGCGATTAACAGCAAAAGTAGGCGAGACACTGGGTTCCGCGGAACCCTTACAAATTTTTGTAACTTCCAGACAATAACTTGTGTGTTAGTGTATGGATCTCTCTGAAATTACCACAAGTTTCCATACCACAAAGGGATGGTTAGGATTTGCTTTGGGGGGTTATGGCTGAAACCGTTTAGGAATTAGGGGCAAAAAAGGGGAAAAAACAAGGGTTTCCTGGTTAATGGACAATTTAAAAGCAGTGTAAGGGAGGTAATCCAAAAACAAAATTGTACAATGTTGGATCACCTCCCTTACACTGCTTTTAAATTATCTATTTGAGACTTTTATGATGTATTTAAATTTGGAAATTATGGTTGCAAACTCCATTGGAAATTTGAATTGAGATTATGACCATATCTTGAGGGAAAGAATTTTTTTTGGGGAAAAAGGAGGGGGGAGGGGGGTAAAAAAGAAATTGTGGGGGGGGGGGCCAATTTTTTTTTCCATTTCAGGTTTCAGAAATTAAAAAGAAAATTTCTTCAAATATTTTTATATGACCGCAAACAAATTTTGCAGTTGTATATTGGTATGACGTTGGCATTGTTGTCGTCGTCGTCCGAAGACACATTGGTTTTCACACTATAACTTTAGTTTAAGTGAATGGATCTCTATGAAATTTTACCATAAGGTTCAATACCACAAAAGGAAGGTTGGGATTGATTTTGGGGGTTATGGTACCAACAGTTAAGGAATTAGGGGCCAAAAAGCGGTCAAAAATAAGCTTTTTTGTAACTTCCAGACAATAACTTGTGTGTTAGTGTATGGATCTCTCTGACATTGTACCACAAGTTTCCATATCACAAAGGGAATGTTGGGAATGATATTGGGGGTAATTGCCCAAAACGTTTAGGAATAAGGGGCCAAAAAGGGGCAAAAAATAAGCATTTTTCTAGTTTCCAGACAATTACTTGTTTTCAAGTGTATGGATCTCTCTGAAATTGTACTGCAAGGTACCATACCCCAAAGGGAAGGCTGGGATTGATTTTAGGGGTAATTGCCTCAAAATTTTAGGAATTAGGGGCCAAAAAAGGGCAAAAAACAAGCATTTTTCTAGTTTCAGGACAATAACTTGTGTGTAAGTGTATGGATCTTAATGAAATTGTACTACAAGATTCCATATAACAAACAGAAAGCTGGGTTTGAGTTGGGGGGTTAATTGCCCATAACGTTTAGGAATTTGGGGCCAAAAAGGGGCCAAAAAACAAGCATTTTTTCTAGTTTCCAGACAATAACTTGTGTTCACGTGTATGGATCTCATTGAAATTGTACTGCAAGGTACCATACCCCAAAGGGAAGGCTGGGATTGAGTTTGGGGACGATGAATCATAAGGGAGTTCAAAAAATTTGGGGGGGTGGGGGGATTTTTTTTTTCTTTAAAATTGTCCATTTTAAGTTGGTTATTTCTGATTTATATATATAAGCACATAATAATGATATGGTTTGAATAGGTAAATTAAAAAATTTTAAGTTCTTAGACCACATTCATTCTGTGTCAGAAACCTATGCTGTGTCAAATATTTAATCACAAGTTTATTTCACAAAAGCAAAAAAAAGGGGGAGTAAATTTTTTTTTTGGTTGTTGTTGTTGTTGGGGGGGGGGGGGGGGGGGGGTCAATTCACAACAGCATAGTGTTTTGCACAAAAGCAAAAAACTGAATATAAATTCAAATCATATAACCAATTCTAAGTTCTTTGACTACAGTTATTCGGTGTCAGAAACCTATTATGTGTCAAATATTCAATTACAATCCAAATTCAGACCTGTATCAAGCGCGAATATTGTGTCCATTTTCTCCCCAACTGTTCAGGGTTGGACCTCTGAGGTCGTATCCAGCTGCGCTCAGCGAAGCATTTTATTTTTTAAATGGAGCAAAATTTTGTGTCCTGTGTCAAGCTTACTGACTTCATGATTCATAGCTGCCATAAGACTCTTAGTCATGTGTCAAGCTTACTGAATCCATGATTTATAGCTGCATCAAGACTCTTTGTCATGTGATAAGCTTACTGACTCCATGATTTATAGCTGCCACAAGACTCTTTGTCATGTGATAAGCTTACTGACTCCATGATTTATAGCTGCCACAAGACTCTTTGTCATGTGATAAACTTACTGACTCCATGATTTATAGCTGCCACAAGACTCTTTGTCATGTGATAAGCTGACTGACTCCATGATTTATAGCTGCCACAAGACTCTTTGTCATGTGATATGCTTACTGACTCCATGATTTATAGCTGCCACAAGACTCTTTGTCATGTGATATGCTTACTGAATCCATGATTTATAGCTGCCACATGACTCTTTGTCATGTGATAAGCTTACTGACTCCATGATTTATAGCTGCCACAAGACTCTTTGTCATGTGACAAGCTTATTGAATCCATTATTTGGAGCTGCCACATGACTCTTTGTCATGTGATAAACTTACTGACTCCATGATTTATAGCAGCCACATGACTCTTTGTTATGTGATAAGCTTACTGACTCCATGATTTATAATGCAACAAGACTCTTTGTTATGTGACAAGCTTACTGACTCCATGATTTATAGCTGCCACATGACTCTGTTATGTGACAAGGTTACTGACTCCATGATTTATAGCTGCCACATGACTCTTTGTCATGTGATAAGCTTACTGACTCCATGATTTATAGCAGCCACAAGACTCTTTGTCATGTGATAAGCTTACTGACTCCATGATTTATAGCTGCCACAAGACATTTGTCATGTGATAAGCTTACTGACTCCATGATTTATAGCTGCCACAAGACTCTTTGTCATGTGATAAGCTTACTGACTCCATGATTTATAGCTGCCACAAGACTCTTTGTCATGTGACAAGCTTACTGACTCCATGATTTATAGCTGCCACATGACTCTTTGTCTTTCCAAAAGGTTCCTATATATACATGTATGTTATCAAAATTGGAAAGTATATTTCTTTCGTTTTAGCATTGGAAAATGTTTTTTAATGAATGAAAGGTTAGAATTATTCAATATTGTAATACAATTAGCAGTTTATACACCAATGAAGTGATACTGAACATGTTATACAGGACATGTAGTTTATAAGGGTAAAGAGAAGAAAAATAAGGGGATATGAATTTATTAATTTTATAACAAATTGTCCAATAATAAATTTGACAAACTGTCATGTTTTGTAATAAAAGGATCAAATAATGTTACATTATTACATTTAGCATGTTTTTGTTTCAGAACAGATCGGATAGATTTTTAAGAGGAGATAATAACACATTATTTTGTATTGCTTTATGTGAAGGTAAGTTTCTTAGTTTTGAATTGCAGATTTATAACAATTTTTACTTATAACAATTTTTACTTGTAACATTTTTGCTGAATTATAGGGTTCTGTCATTTTTTTTTCAGGGTGAATTTTATATGCTGCATGACATTCAGTATTTTTTACATTCCTGCATCCATATTCACATTCTATTTTAGAACAATTAGTGTTACTTCCTGTTATCTTTGTGGCATGGAAAAATGTCAAGATAGCAGGAATGTTTTATATGACCACACATTTTTTTGTGACCACACATTTTTTGTGATATGGTTATCATCATTGTTGTAATTGTTCTTGTCCATTTTTATATGACCACAAAAAAATTTTGCGGTCGTATATTGGTATGACGTTGGCGTCTTCGTCGTCGTCCGAAGACACATTGGTTTTCGCACTCTAACTTTAGTTTAAGTGAATGGATCTCTATGAAATTTTACCATAAGGTTCAATACCACAAAAGGAATGTTGGGATTGATTTTGGGGGTTATGGTACCAACAGTTAAGGAATTAGGGGCCAAAAATAAGCATTTTTATATGACCGCAAAAAATTTTTTGGGATCGTATAATGGTATGATGTCGTCGATGTCTGCGTCGTCTTCGTCGTCTGAGTCATCTTCGTCGTCTGCGTTGTATGCGTCGCTGTCCGAAGACACATTTGTTTCCGGACAATAACTTTAGTTTAAGTGAATGGATCTCTATGAAATTTTTTTAGAAGGTTCAATACCACAAAAGGAAGGTTGAGATTGATTTTAGGGATGATGGTCCCAACCGTTTAGGAATTAGGGGCCCAAAAGGGACCCAAAACAAGCATTTATCTAGTTTCAGGACAATAACTTGTGTATAAGTATTTCAATTGCTCTGAAATTGTACCACAATGTTTAATACCACAAGTAGAAGGTGGGGATTTATTTTAAGGGTTATGTGGCAAACAGTATAGGAATTAAGGGCCAAAAACAAGCATTTTTCTAGTTTCCGGACAATAACTTGTGTGTCAGTGTATGGATCTCTCAGACATTGTACCACAAGGTTCCATATAACAAAGGGAAGGCTGGGATTTAGTTTGGGGTTAAATGTCCCAAACATGTAGGAATTAGGGGCCAAAAAGAAGCATTTTTCTAGTTTCGAGACAATAACTTGTGTTTAAGTGTATGGATCTCTCTGAAATTATACTACAAGATTCCATACTACAAAGGAAAGGCTGGGATTGAGTTTTGGGGTTATTGCTCCAAGGGGGGTTTCAATAAATTGGGGGAGGGGGGATTTTTTGTTTACAATTTTTTAAAGGATTCATATTTTTTTTTCAAAATTTTTCATATCTCCAACTTTTGAAAAGTTTCAAGAAGAAATCTTCAATTGCACAGTATTGCGCAATAGATTTGTAAGATCTTTGACCAAATTTATTTTGTGTCAGAAACCTATATTATGTCAAAAATTTGATCACAATCCAAATTCAGACAGTATCAAGCTTGAATATTGTGTCCAAACTTGCCCCAACTGTTCAGGGTTCGACCTCTGCGGTCGTATCAGGCTGCACTCAGTGAACCATTTTTATTGTAACTTCCAGACATAACTTGTGTGTTAGTCTATGGATCTCTCTGACATTGTACCACAAGGTTCCATATCACAAAGGGAATGCTGGGATTGATTTTGGGGGTAATTGCCTCAAAATTTTAGGAATTAGGGGCCAAAAAAGGGGCAAAAAACAAGCATTTTTCTAGTTTCATGACAATAACTTGTGTGTAAGTGTATGGATCTTTTTGAAATTGTACTACAATGCTCCATATCACAAAGGAAAAGCTGGAATTGAGTTTGGGGGTAATTTCCCAAAACGTTTAGGAATAAGGGGCCAAAAATAAGCATTTTTCTAGTTTCCAGACAATAACTTGTGTTCAAGTGTATGGATATCTCTGAAATTGTACTGCAAGGTACCATATCTCAAAGGGAAGGCTGGGATTGATTTTGGGGGTAATTGCCTCAAAATTTTAGGAATTAGGGGCCAAAAAGGGGAAAAAAACAAGCATTTTTCTAGTTTCAGGACAATAACTTGTGTGTAAGTGTATGGATCTTTATGAAATTGTTCTACAAAGGGAGAGCTGGGTTTGAGTTTGGGGGTAATTGCCCTAAACTTTTAGGAATTTGGGTCAAAAAAGGGGCAAAAAAACAAGCATTTTTCTAGTTTCCAGACAATAACTTGTGTTCAAGTGTATGGATCTCTCTGAAATTGTACTGCAAGGTACCATACCAAAAAGGGAAGGCTGGGATTGAGTTTGGGGGTGATGAATCATAAGGGGGTTCAAAAAATTGGGGGGGGATTTTTTTTTCTTTTTTTTTCTTTAAAATTTTCCATTTTAAATTGGTTATTTCTGATTGATATATATAAAGCAAATAATAATGATATGGTTTGAATAGGTAAATTAAAAAATTTTAAGTTCTTAGACCACATACATACTGTGTCAGAAACCTATGCTGTGTCAAATATTTAATCACAATCCAAATTCAGTGCTGTATCAAGCTTGAATGTTGTGTCCATACTTGCCCCAACTGTTCAGGGTTCGACCTCTGGGGTCGTTTTAAGCTGCGCCCAGCAGAGCATTTTATTTGATGTAGAACAATGTAGTTTAAATTATATTTTCAGTAGAAATACAAAGCAACTTAATGTCACAAAACCTATATTGAGGATTTATTATCATTCGTGGGATACCAGCTTTCTTAGAATTCATGGGGAAAGGTAAACTGAATTTAAATGATCAATGGAGCACAGTTTTTATACGACCGCAAAAAAATTTTGTGGTTGTATATTGGTATGACGTAGGCGTCGTTGTCGTCCGAAGACACATTGGTTTTCGCACTCGAACTTTAGTTTAAGTTAACGGATCTTAATGAAATTTTACCATAAGGTTCAATACCAAATAAGGAAGGTTGGGAATGATTTTGGGGGTTATGGTACCAACAGTTTAGGAATAAGGGGCCAAAAATAAGCATTTTTGTAACTTCCAGACATAACTTGTGTGTTAGTGTATGGATCTCTCTGACATTGTACCACAAGGTTCAATATCACAAAGGGAATGCTTGGGTTGATTTTGGGGGTAATTGTCTCAAAATTTTAGGAATTAGGGGCCAAAAAAGGGGCAAAAAACAAGCATTTTTCTAGTTTCATGACAATAACTTGTGTGTAAGTCTATGGATCTTTCTGAAATTGTACTACAAGGTTCCATATCACAAAGGGAAATCTGGAATTGAGTTTGGGGGTAATTTCCCAAAACGTTTAGGAATAAGGGGCCAAAAATAAGCATTTTTCTAGTTTCCAGACAATAACTTGTGTTCAAGTGTATGGATATCTCTGAAATTGTACTGCAAGGTACCATATCTCAAAGGGAAGGCTGGGATTGATTTTGGGGGTAATTGCCTCAAAATTTTAGGAATTAGGGGCCAAAAAGGGGAAAAAAACAAGCATTTTTCTAGTTTCAGGACAATAACTTGTGTGTAAGTGTATGGATCTTTATGAAATTGTTCTACAAAGGGAGAGCTGGGTTTGAGTTTGGGGGTAATTGCCCTAAACTTTTAGGAATTTGGGTCAAAAAAGGGGCAAAAAAACAAGCATTTTTCTAGTTTCCAGACAATAACTTGTGTTCAAGTGTATGGATCTCTCTGAAATTGTACTGCAAGGTACCATACCAAAAAGGGAAGGCTGGGATTGAGTTTGGGGGTGATGAATCATAAGGGGGTTCAAAAAATTGGGGGGGGATTTTTTTTTCTTTTTTTTTCTTTAAAATTTTCCATTTTAAATTGGTTATTTCTGATTGATATATATAAAGCAAATAATAATGATATGGTTTGAATAGGTAAATTAAAAAATTTTAAGTTCTTAGACCACATACATACTGTGTCAGAAACCTATGCTGTGTCAAATATTTAATCACAATCCAAATTCAGTGCTGTATCAAGCTTGAATGTTGTGTCCATACTTGCCCCAACTGTTCAGGGTTCGACCTCTGGGGTCGTTTTAAGCTGCGCCCAGCAGAGCATTTTATTTGATGTAGAACAATGTAGTTTAAATTATATTTTCAGTAGAAATACAAAGCAACTTAATGTCACAAAACCTATATTGAGGATTTATTATCATTCGTGGGATACCAGCTTTCTTAGAATTCATGGGGAAAGGTAAACTGAATTTAAATGATCAATGGAGCACAGTTTTTATACGACCGCAAAAAAATTTTGTGGTTGTATATTGGTATGACGTAGGCGTCGTTGTCGTCCGAAGACACATTGGTTTTCGCACTCGAACTTTAGTTTAAGTTAACGGATCTTAATGAAATTTTACCATAAGGTTCAATACCAAATAAGGAAGGTTGGGAATGATTTTGGGGGTTATGGTACCAACAGTTTAGGAATAAGGGGCCAAAAATAAGCATTTTTGTAACTTCCAGACATAACTTGTGTGTTAGTGTATGGATCTCTCTGACATTGTACCACAAGGTTCAATATCACAAAGGGAATGCTTGGGTTGATTTTGGGGGTAATTGTCTCAAAATTTTAGGAATTAGGGGCCAAAAAAGGGGCAAAAAACAAGCATTTTTCTAGTTTCATGACAATAACTTGTGTGTAAGTCTATGGATCTTTCTGAAATTGTACTACAAGGTTCCATATCACAAAGGGAAATCTGGAATTGAGTTTGGGGGTAATTTCCCAAAACGTTTAGGAATAAGGGGCCAAAAATAAGCATTTTTCTAGTTTCCAGACAATAACTTGTGTTCAAGTGTATGGATCTCTCTGAAATTGTACTGCAAGGTTCCATATCACAAAGGGAATGCTTGGATTGATTTTGGGGGTTATTGCCTCAAAATTTTAGGCATTAGGGGCCAAAAAAGGGAAAAAAAACAAATATTTTTCTAGTTTCATGACAATAACTTGTGTGTAAGTCTATAGATCTTTCTGAAATTGTACTACAAGGTTCCATATCACAAAGGAAAAGCTGGAATTGAGTTTGGGGGTAATTTCCCAAAACGTTTAGGAATAAGGGGCCACAAAGGGGCAAAAAACAAGCATTTTTCTCGTTTCAGGACAATAACTTGTGTGTAAGTGTATGGATCTTTATGAAATTGTACTACAAGGTTCCATATCACAAAGGGAAAGCTGGGTTTGAGTTTGGGGGTAATTCCTCTAAATGTTTAGGAATTTGGGGCCAAAAAGGGGCAAAAAAATTTTACAAGCATTTTTCTAGTTTCCAGACAATAACTTGTGTTCAAGTGTATGGGTCTCTCTGAAATTGTACTGCAAGGTACCATACCACAAAGGGAAGGCTGGGATTGAGTTTGGGTTGATGAATCATAAGGGGGTTCAAAAAATTTGGGGGGGGGGGGATTTTTTTCCCCTTTTTTTTTCTTTCCATTTTAAATTGGTTATTTCTGATTTATATATAAAAGCAAATAATAATGATATGGTTTGAATAGGTAAATTAAAAATTTTTAAGTTCTTAGACCACATTCATTCTGTGTCAGAAACCTATGCTGTGTCAAATATTTAATCACAATCCAAATTCAGTGCTGTATAAAGCTTGAATGTTGTGTCCATACTTGCCCCAACTGTTCAGGGTTCGACCTCTGCGGTTGTATCAAGCTGCTCCCAGCGGAGCATTTTATTTTTTTATAGGCTTGAATGCAGACTTAAGCTCCAAACCACAAAATCAAATATCCAAGTAAAAATGCATTTTTTCCTCAATCCATGAAATATATGAATCAAGAGTATTTGAATGTACTGTTTATCAAAGAAAAATTCCATTTTATTTACAGTGATAACATGGCCACAGTTGAAGAAGTCAGGTCAGATTTGGGTTTGTCCAGAAAGTGATTATGTTTGTACAAGATTTTTCTTTGTGTAAGTATCATGAAGTCAGATCATACACATCAATCAAAAGACAGAAATCGAATTGACTAATTGTAAATAAAGTAAACAGCAGCATCAACAATTTGTTAAAGTTTGTGACTAGGTTAGTTTAATGGAAACCACTTATTGTTACTGATATATGAAACTATGGATTCATTAATTCGTGGGATGCCAATTTTCATGGGTTTTCATGGGTATAGGTTAACCACGAAATCAAATATCCATGAAAATTCTATTTGTCCCCAATCCACGAAAATTTGTATCAACGAAAATAGAAATAAAGTAATCCACAGTATTCAGTTGAAGTAGCATATGCAATTTAATTACCATGGAGATTATATGTTCCTATCCCTCAGTTATGTTCCATTGACCTTGAAACTTTTGCTAAGTTTGTGATTAGGTTAATTTGAGGACAAGCACTTATGGTAAGTCAATGATATTTCATCATATTTGGTATGTAGTTGTATTAGTATAAGCACATCTTATGTCCATGGAAATTATATGGCCCCTCCCCTTAAGTCATGGTTCGTTGACTTTGGCATTTTTAACTTGTTAAAGTTTGGTATTAGGTCAGTTTTAAGAGAACCAGATAAGCCTATAATATTTGGTATGCAGTTGTATTAGCATGGGTATATTCTCACTTCCTTTGAGATAATTGGACCTGAACCTTCAGTCATGGTTCATTGACTTCTATTGTTTTGCATAGTTTACATGTAAAAGTATTTCCATTTTAATATCAACATTTGCATTTGACTATAAAAAATACATACAGGCGTGAGCAGTGAGACACATCTCTGTGTCAACAGTTTATTAATTAAGGAATAATCTTTTTCTTTATTTTTAGATACGAGGAAGCAACAGGACATGAAAATATAGATACACAACAGAAACAGTATGAAGAAGCTATACTAAAGGCATTGCGATAGAAATCTTTATAGACTTCTTGGAAAAATACAGGCAAGCAGTTTTGCATATACATATACAAGTATTGTAAATTCAGAAATTATTGCAATGTTTTTATTAATCCGAAAAATGTGACAGTATCAGTGGTCAATTTCACAAAAAAACTTACGACTAAGATTGATCGTAAGTCATGAACAATTCAGTATACTTACGATCAATCTTAGTCATAAGTTTTTTGTGAAACCGACTCCAGATCCACAATAATAAAACTGGCATTCACAATTTTAGTAGTGATTATTCTTCATCAAATTTTTGCAATTGCATTAATTAGATTTAGCATTTTTGGCAGTGGTCAAGGATTCGCAATAATAAATACACGCACATGCATTAATTTCTGAATTTACAGTACTCATTTATTAGCTAGCTTGTCCCATGGGGTCATGTGAGCTATTTTCATCCTTTTGCCTCTGTTGTCCGTCTGTCCATCCTTAGAAAATTCATCATCTCCTCTGAAACCACTGGCCCAAAGGAGTATGGCCATGAAGGCCTAAATTTGGCCTTAAAAAAACCAAAATTTGTAATATCATTTATGAAAATCTATATTTACAATCTTAGATATGCAAATTTATATAAACTACACCGATTTTCTCTCTGCTGTTTGTTTTAACAATGTCGACTGCTAAAGTATGGTATGTTACAAGTTTTTAGTCAGATTGCCTGTTTTTATGCATTTGGAAGGTCAATTTCCTTCTGAGAATCACATGACCACACCCTTTGACCAAAATAAAATTGATATAAATAGATGTATTTGGGTCAGATACATATCTTAACCAAAAAATTATGGTAGTCCATGCATGTGGCAAATGTTGTTTGAAGCAAAAACTATTAAAATTAAAGCAAAAAATTAGTCAAAATTTGGATTTGCTTTATAAGACTGCACATTTATGATGTCACTAAGTCTGAAAATTTTGACATCTAGGTTCTTTTGGCACTTCAGCCATCATATCTTTATCAACAGAATCTTTAATCTTGTTATCTGGAAGAAATGGATGTTTGAAAAATTCATGTAAATTTTTTCCTACTTAATGTGTCCAAATGACTGAATTTTTCAAAATATAGAAAGTAGGAGATGTGGTATGATTGCTAATGAGGCAACTATCCACCAGTGACTGAAGGACAAGGATTTAAAAAACCATACTTGTGTCAGATGAAAATGAGAACCATTTAAGGAGCTGATGGAAATAAATTCCCGACATCAAACTATAATTATTTCTTCAAAGTCAACATGAACAGCTGTTGGTTTAAAACATCAATTTTTTTATCTGTACATAATTATAGAGTTGCTTGGACTCTCAAGGCAAAAGAATGAAGACAATAGGAATATATTTTTTCATTTTTAAATACATGAGTTGTATAAGGCTGTTTGAATAATGTAGGGCAACATTTGAATGTTACAATAATAAATTTTTTGGGGGAAAATTGCATTCATGCAATCAAAACCCTTATATGGCTAGCTTGATAGTTATCAATTTTCCAACTTTACCACACCTTTTAAGATAAACTGAACATAGTTCATTGAATACAACTTTATTCGAGCATCACTGCTGAGTTTTGTCTTGCGTACAAAATTTTAATCCTGGTATCTGTGATGAGTTTAAATATATCCTATCCATGAACATATTAAGAAATTTATCTATGAAATATATACACAGATATTCAAGTTACGAAATGATGTGTATGTGTATAACCATATTTAAAAAAAAAAAATACACAAAAATTGTGTGTAGTCATGATGGTGCTGTTCAAAAAATATCAATGTCATTGTTAAAGTAATATTTAAAATTGGAGTTATCTTCCTTTGTCCATAATTGTTGTTGTATTGCCTTTCAGTATTATTTAATTCTCCCAATGCAAAATGAATGCAATCTTTACCCTTCAGTGCTCACAAGCACTTTGATTAACATAACACAATGCATCTAAATTTTTTGTACATGTAGATATAATAATTATACATTTTCTCTTTTGTTTCACTTGAATAACATTTTCTGACTTACCTGTCTCACGGGGGATCTCTTCTCGCATAACAGGACCTAATCCTTGCAAATGAGAAGGAATATTTGTATAACATGATAATGAACAGGTGCTTTGAGTAATGACTTTTTGGAGACTGTTATGCAATGAACAGTAAACAGTAGTACTGCTCTTATTGAAACTATTATAATAACCTTTGAAAATAACTTGTCTTTGAGCTATCTAAAGTGATAGAATTTTTTAAATCATTGTCACAAATTTGGGGAATTTTAAAAACTGCATACATGCATTATGCATCGAGGTCAGTATATAAAGCATCAATGATTGTTAAAGTTTGTGATAAGGTTACCAGGGTGAGAAATATATCTGTTTATAACCTAAAAGGATTTATTTACAGTTTTGATAGAAATAATTGTTTTGAAGTGGGTACTTCACAATCATTTTAGAAACGCACGTGTTTGAAGCATAGTTTTACATCTGCTCTTTTTCTTTTAATGAAGGTCCGGAAAAGAAAACTGTTATGAGGAAAAATGTTCAAAAGTAAGAAAAATCTCTGACTTAAAACTTTATCCTTTAACTTTGATAGAAATAACTGTTTTGAAGTGGGTACTATACAATTGTTTTATAGACGCACACGTTTTAAGCATAGTTTTACGTCTTGACCTCTTCTTTTGACAATGGTCTGGAAAAGAAAATTGTTGTCATGAAGAAATATATTCAAAAGTATGATAATCTCTGACTTGAGTCTTTATCTTTTAACTAGATGGGAAGTATCCGATAAATTTATTGGAGATGAATCCCGTGGTCCCAGAAGTCAAAAACAATGGATTTCATGATCTATATCCCAATTTTAAAGTAATTATAATAGGAAATGGGGCAAACTGATTTTTTTTTTGTTGAAAAAAATTTACATGAAAAAATATGTTTATTTAAGTTGGAGAAAAAATTGAAAGTGGCGAAAGAGGTGGTGAAAAAGAAAATTGACCCAGGGGAAACCCTGACCCTGGGCTCCATTTTACATTGGTGTCACTCTTATTTGCACTTTTAATTAAATATCATTAGAAATCTCAAGAATTTAAACAATAGTTGGTTGTACAAATTGAAAGGTTCAATATTAAATGCATTTTTTATACGACCACAAAAAAATTTTGCAGTCGTATATTGGTATGACGTTGGCGTCGTCGACGTCGTCCGAAGACACATTGGTTTTCGCACTCTAACTTTAGTTTAAGTGAATGGATCTCTATGAAATTTTGCCATAAGGTTCAATACCACAAAAGGAAGGTTGGGATTGATTTTGGGGGTTATGGTACCAACAGTTAAGGAATTAGGGGCCAAAAATAAGCATTTTTGTAACTTCCAGACATAACTTGTGTGTTAGTGTATGGATCTCTCTGACATTGTACCACAAGGTTCCATATCACAAAAGGAATGCTGGGATTGATTTTGGGGGTAATTGCCTCAAAATTTTAGGAATTAGGGGCCAAAAAAGGGGCAAAAAACAAGCATTTTTCTAGTTTCATGACATTTTGTGTGTAAGTGTATGGATCTTTCTGAAATTGTACTACAAGGTTCCATATCACAAAGGGAAAGCTGGAATTGAGTTTGGGGTAATTGCCCAAAACGTTTAGGAATAAGGGGCCAAAAATAAGCATTTTTCTAGTTTCCAGACAATAACTGTTCAAGTGTATGGATCTCTCTGAAATTGTACTGCATAGTACCATACCACAAAGGGAAGGCTTGGATTGATTTTGGGGGTAATTGCCTTTAAATTTTAGGAATTAGGGGCCAAAAAGGGGCAAAAAACAAGCATTTTTCTAGTTTCAGGACATTAACTTATGTGTAAGTGTATGGACCCTTCTGAAATTGTACTACAAGGTTCCATATCACAAAGGGAAAGCTGGGTTTGAGTTTGGGGGTAATTGCCCTAAACGTTTAGGAATTTGGGGCCAAAAAGGGGCTTAAAACAAGCATTTTTCTAGTTTCCAGACAATAACTTGTGTTCAAGTGTATGGATCTCTCTGAAATTGTACTGCAAGGTACCATACCACAAAGGGAAGGCTGGGATTGAGTTTGGGGTGATGAATCACAAGGGGGTTCAAAAAATTTAGGGGGGGATTTTTTTCCCTTTTTTTCCTTTTTTTTTTTTCTTTAAAATTTTCCTTTTTAAACTGGTTATTTCTGATTTATATATAAAAGCAAATAATAATGATATGGTTTGAATAGGTAAATTAAAAAAGATTTAAGTTCTTAGACCACATTCATTCTGTGTCAGAAACCTATGCTGTGTCAAATATTTAATCACAATCCAAATTCAGTGCTGTATCAAGCTTGAATGTTGTGTCCATACTTGTCCCAACTGTTCAGGGTTTGACCTCTGCGGTCGTATCAAGCTGCGCCCAGGGGAGCATTTTATTTTAGAATTAATAATGAACAATTAGTACCTCTAAAAAGGATTAATATCTGAGATATATTAGCCAATTACAGTAAAATCGAACATAAATATTAAAATGGACAATTAACACAACTGAAAAGGTGTTTAATTTGAAAGATATTTAGGCAATTTTAGTACAATTGAACTTAATTATAAAAAAATTAACTATTAACACAACTGTTATTTAAGCGAGTTTCAGTAAAATTGATTTTTTTTAACAAAGGTTGCACCAATAAGCAAGACACCCACAAGGATTGACTAAACATAAGTGTTAATTCTTGGAACTCTTAGATTCAGGGATGGCTATATAAAACCAGGACATTGATAATGGACATAAGAGTCTTAGAATTAAAAGAGCACACACAAACTAAATGGTGATTGAAGCTATTTCTACATTTATAGAAAAAAAAACTAATTCTTAAGAATTATTTCCTGAATTAACAGAGGATGCAAGAAGGTCCATTGATGTGTATTGTGTTCTTGTTCTAACAAAAGTCTAGAACATTCAGTTGAAATGTATGAGCTTTTATAGTTTGTGGTCAATTTTCTGGACTGTTTTTTGTTTGTTTTAAGAAACAAGAAATCAATTTGTTGAAAAGAATTACATCTGCTATAGTAACACTTTGGGCTTGTTCTGATGGGGAGAAGCAAATGTGAATTTTGTTTGGGCAAAAATGGTTTTAGTACATTTTTAATAATACTTCTTTTTTGGTTCAAATGGTTTAAAAAACTTGGATGCACATCATTTTCCTGATTAACTAAAACAGGATTTTTTTTCTCTTGAGTTTGTTTACCCAGTTTAAAGCAAATTAAGATCTGTGGTCTTTAATATCTAAGAAGATTATGTTTATGATCCAAAAAATAAACATGTGTTCACAGGGGTATAATTTATGTTAGTCAATAGATTAAGGTAAAAAAAGGGGGGTAAAAAATATTCAAGCCCCGATTTTAAATTAGGAACCTTGTCAGTGGTTTTCTTGTGTCTGTTTTTCAGAGAATTTGGTGTTGATTACACATCTTTGATTGTTATTTTTATATAATTTAATTTTGGATGTAATGCGTCTTTTGATTGGCTGACGTTGTTTTGTTTATCAGCTCATACACATAATTTTGTCATGTGACTGTGACGTCATCAACGTTTTTTCATGGTTTACTCCGGTTTAAAATGGAATTTAGAATTAAATTATAAGAAATGACTGTAATATTTTTTCTGTCTATTCGAAATAACATAAAAAATGTGGTGCACACTTTAAAATAACCCGCGACACGGGTTATTCAGTGTGCACCACATTTTTTATGTTATTTCTTCATAGACAGAAAAAATATAACAGTCATTCCTTAAATAACCCCAAAACAACTCAGAGTTTGAAATATTGTACAGACACCTGTTTGTTGTTGAAGATTGTATGTTGTCAAAATTTTTACCCATTCTATTTTTTTCCACAACTTTCAACAGCTAAGATTTTACTTATGGTTATGTAATCTACAGATTTTATTTGTTTTCCAATAATAAATGTTGTTTAAAGATGACTGCCAGAAGTGTTAATTTATCAAAATACAATAGATATTTCGAAGCACAATATTTTGTTTGCTATCAAAGATTTATTTCCCTTAAGATAAGTTTCCAAAGGTTTTGTTACATACAAAAGTTCACATGTGTTATTACTTTAAATGCAGTCACCTGGGTACATGAATAAGCTAGGAATATTTCTCCCAAAAAAAATATTGAAAAAAGTAAATGAAGATCAGTAAATATATGCTATATAGAGACAGAAGAATTCGGTCTAGTGTCTTATGTGCTGAAACATTAAAGTACAATAAATCATTTACAGATGCAAATGAAATTTTCATGTAGAAATTAGAGACAGTCATAAGTTGTTTAAATTTATTTAACTGTTAATCAGACTAGAACTATAATGTACTAATACATTGTATGTTATACAACAAGGATATTTTTAGAGAAAAAAATCTAGAGTTATTGCCCTTAGATCATGTTTACTACAAATTATGCAAATGACAAATTAATATGCTGGTTTATAATGAATTTCAGACTCTAAATATGAGTTAATGAAATATTAATCAATACTGTTTGTATAAAAATAAAAGTTTGAATATGCTTTACGCCCAATAATATATTGATGGTATCTGCTAGTACAAGTTTTGACTTGTTTGTATAATTGATTAAATCAGATTAAAATATTCATGTATCACTCATGTAACAGGTAAATTTTATCATAACCGATATTTTTTTTTCTCTTCATACTGAAAAAGTTGATTTCCCAAGTGTGTTAAATAATGTCTCCAGCAGTCCTCTCCTATCATGCTAGATTTGAAGATTTCTACAATATAAGAATAAAGATGTGGTATGATTGCCAATGAAACAACTATCTCCAAGAGACCATATGATGTAGAAGTTTGTTTGATAAATAAAAACTACTGTTTTCCAGCCATGCCTTAATGTTTATAAGTGCCACTATGTTTTTGTCCTGATCCTATCCTCTTGTGACACAGATACAATCTTTTGTAGAAAGATGAATTGATTGGTTGATATTTCAAGTCCAGAATCTGAAAAAATCAATGTAGTTGTAAAAAGATTTATGTAGTTAAAATATTTTTATTAACGGCAATTATTTGACTGAATTTTGATCTATGTTTTACGTGAATGTAAATTTGCCTCTGAAAGGAGGTGATGATATATTGATATTCATATGTATTTCCCCTGTACAACATCGATTTAAAATCACATGACATCTGCCTGTAACCACATATGGCTTAAAATGATTTTCCCCAGGTTTCATACTGATTTTCTTTGATCAATTCCTCATCTTAGATTAATTATTGAAATGTAAGTGACTTGAAATAATGGGTTTGATAAAGCTTGTTCACCATGTATGTATGTATGTATATACTGGTAGATTCCTCCTTTATTTGGAGCACCCGTTCAGAGCTGTGAGGGTACAGTGGAATCTTTGTACACTCTCTATCTGGATTAATGGAGATGTGTCACTAAGGTATTTACAAGGACAATCCACTGTAATTGGTACATTAATTTATTGATTTCCTGTTATTGATGAGGTAAGGGACCATGTGTACCAGATTGTTGAACCTACTTAATGGAAGACCCCCAAGTCATTAGTGAATGACGTGCTGATAGAAGATTGCTTTCATGATACATGTACATCATCACCAATCCTGTGATAATAATTTGGTGTCAACATATGTGTGCTTTACCTGCATTAAAAGCCAAGTATTTTCTGTTCTATTATCTTTATTCACTTGTGTTTCACTTTCTGAGTTATATGCGTGAAAAGTTTAATGAAATAATGTTATTTAAAGAAAAAAACTAATAAGTCTAATTTCTAACTTGGCATAAGTGTAAAGATTGTTCTTAATTTTAAAAATTCATATTTGAAATAATTCTAGTGATCTTGTCTTGCTCATATCAGTAAAAACATCCTTTTGTAAACTTTGTGGTCTTAATTTATGATATTATTGATATAATATATATGATACCCCATTATATTTTGCCAAGTTGGTGCAAAACTTGGTCATGTTAACCTATAAAGAAATAAAGAATATGAACGAAACCAGAATATCTGAGAATACCTCAAAGGTAGATAGGGTTACTTTAGAAATATGGCTACTGAAATTCTTCCATCAGATAGTAAGACCCCTGCTAAGGTGGTTGCACCATCACACTATGTGCATGTGAGGAAGTCCTAGGCTAATTGGTTGGTTGGTTGTTGTTGTTTGGGGGGGGGGGGGGGGGGGGGGGGGGGGGGGTAAAAATTTTGATAGCCAAAATTATCTGCCCTTCTTTCAATTTAGCTTCTTTTTCATATCCTGTCAACAGATATATTGATAGCTTGAATATTCATGAAATAATTGCCACTGAACATACAGCCACAATCAGTCAATCAATCAGACAAAATATCCATGAAAAAAAGTTTGTGACCGAATAGTTTTGGAAAGTCATGTTAGAAACGACTCAAGTGTTATGTTTTGTAAGTAGGTGTTATATTTTGTCAAATCTTTCAGACTGCCCTCTGTTGAGATTATTAATATTATAAAAACTAAATCATATTTGTCTGTATTTTTGTTATCATATTTGTCTGTATTTTTGTTGTGGTACAGTCTACTATATAAGAGATGATGTAATAACTCTGTCAGTGTCTGTCATCAATCTATATTTAGTCTTGGGTCTTCAAAACAATTGAACCCAAAAAGTGAACATGAGAAGTTAACTTTCCAATGAAAAGGTAGCTTGCATAATGACTGATATGCATTTAAATTAATATAAATATAATCACCCTTTTGATGTGACATCAAAGAAAGTCTGAGAAATCACTCCAATCAGTAATGTATCAAGAAAAAGGAGAGAAAATCTTATATCTGTGTACATGTTTGGACACATTTGTAACCTTTTAGTAGAAAAATTTATGAGAATCTATTGTAATCTTTCTATCTCAATATGTCAGTTGCAGTTACAAGTTTTACATCCTAATTCAACTATTGTATCTCACGAAATCTTATTTTTTCATATTTATGGTATCTTATATATTCTTTATGTTGAAATGTAAGAGTATTTCTCTTTTGCACTATTTTTTTTTTTCTGTTGAAATTGTTTTTCTAACTATTCGTAGATTGCACCAAACTTCGGTATCTCCTCCTTGTTTATGTTAGACTTAAGCCAAGATGTTTATGTACTGTTGTAATAGGAAGGTCTGTCTATTTGAAAAATGGTGAAGGAAATATGGAAAGATAATGGTAGACTACTGTGGATTTAATTATTTTTCTTTAAATATCAATTTTTGTGGATTTGTTAGGTTTAGGTTAACCACGCACGAATTTAAAAGTTCAACAAAATTCAAATTATCTATAGGCTTGTATCATCATCATGTATGCAGACAACATTATTAACAGACTGTCACATTTAGCATAAATTGCTACTGACTTATGTTGTGCTGTTACACCATTGTCCCAGGTTAGGGGAGGGTTGAGCACTCACAAGCATATTTAACCCTGCCACATTCTTTATGTGTCTATTTTAAGTTAGGAGTAATTCAGTGGTTGTCATTGGTTCATGTCGGTTATATTTGTTTTTCGTAAAAACTGAACTGTTATAAATTGGGCCGTTAGTTTTCTAGTTTAAATAGTTTGTTATTTTGTCTGGGCCTTTTAAAGCTAACTATATGTATGGGTTTTTGTCATTGTTGAAGGTTGTTTCATGACCTATAATTGCTTATATCTAGGTCAGCCGGTGAATATAGTTGTCTTATTAGCAATCATACCACATTTCCTTATTTTTATATTCTAGATGTCTTTTAGTTTTTTGTTTCATTGGTTTGCTTTGTCATTGATGTATGCCTCACATTTCCTTTTATTCATATTAAGATTATTTTTCCAAATTCAACTTAATTGAATATTCGTCAGGTAGATCTGTTGTACTTTATTTAAAAACCTAACGAAATACTATCACATGTAATACTATATATACTATACTTGTTACCTGGAAATTAAACTGTTATTTTTAGTCAGATGACTAAGTGTATTGAAACAAACAATTGTAAACTTTACAGGAAATTTGTAAATTCTTTTACCTTGGGTTGTAAATAAATATGACCCAATACACAAACACCTACATATTTTAAAATCAGAGAAAGGTATGCTTCAGTGATCTGTCAAAACAGTCTGTAAAACTCAGTTTCGAAAGGCTAGGCACTTTATTAAAGAGGCATTAGAACTGAGGACCGGGGAAACATGAATAGATTGTTTTGCTTTCATACTTTTTAGGGTGGTTTTCCCTGTGGGGTTGGTGTTTTCTTTTTGAATGTTTATTGTGTACATGTATGATATAAAAATAAGGAGATGAGGTATGATTGCCAATGAGACAACTATCCACCAAAGTTAAAAAAAAGTGGATGTAAGCAATGATAGGCAACTGTACAGCCTTCAACAATGAGAAAAACCAATACCGTATAGTCGACTATAAAAGGCCCTGACATGAAAAATATGAAACAATTCAATTGAGAAAACTAACGATGTTTATTTCGTTTTTGTCACACAAATCTCTTTATAAGACAATCAAATATTTGTTTGTTTGTTGTTTGTAAACAACTATTTTCCTCTTAGATATGTTGAATTTTTACTTAGGTGTTTACTACATGTACGATAATAGTGTAATTTGTACTTGACCTATAATTTAGCTCCAGGCTTACTGATACACCTTCCCCTACCATAAACTCTTTTTATTAATCCTATAAAATTACATAACGAAATTGGTTTATGGCTAGCTTAGCATAATCAACATTGTGTTTGCTTATAAACCTTACCACTTAAAGGTAGATATTGGGTACTAAAGGCTAACAGAGAATGAACCTGAATGAACTTTAATTTGAAGTGATCGTAAATGTTTTGAATAATAAACAAACATTTATTTTTGATTAGAGGTTGTTACATTTAAATCTGTATATTAAATAATGCTGTTTTAATAAGTGCCATGATCCTGTTGATAAGAGTAACATTACATTTAAACATTTTTTTCTTTGAATATTTTCAAATGATTTATTAGTGTCGGGATAAAATCGTTTGGCATAAAAGGAAGATAGTGATGGTGTTAGCATTATTACTTTTTTCAGTCATTTTATTTATTATTATTATTATTATTATTATTATTATTATCATAATTCTTAAACATTATGCAAATTTTTGTATATTTTTCTTTTCATGTTTTTGGGGGTTTTATTTTGTTTTTTTATTGTAAAAAATTTTTTAATTTAAAATGAATTTTGCATTTAGGCTATCTTTTCTGTTTACTTTTTCTAATAATGTTGACAATTATTTTGAATAAAAAGTAAATTTTATTTTCGTTTTTATTTTTTTTTCTAAAAATTATGGAATATCATACTTTCTTACAGAAAATCAAAATCAAAAATAGAAATTGTTTTAAGTCAATGTGCGTGTTTAGAAAAGAAAAAAAAGACAGGAAATATTTATACATGTTCCTTTAAAATCAATGTAAAAATATTGTCCTGATTCCGCATTTATGACAATACAACAACAGAGGATTAGTTATAATTATATAAGCTTATGTGTTCACCGATTTAAAATTAGAAGGTCACTGTTCCTATCTTTGTAGTGGACATTGACATTACTGTACAACTTACTGGACATTTACATTACTAAGTTCAATTAGTAGTTACATTATGCGTTATACCAAGTTCAAGTTCAAATGTTTTTAATATTTGTTGCTTAGGGTAATGGTATTTACAGCAGTCCAAAGGTTATATAATGTTTCAAAGTTTTATATACTGGGCATAAGCTTGTCAATTGTTTTGTTTAGCACAAATGTTTTGTAAGATGTTAAGAGAAAAGGTTATAGTTTGTTTTCACAGGTTTTCATTGTTTTCCTGGTTTAATTTTCAACAGGTTCTTATATTTTAAGGTTAATAGATTTGTTTATGTAAATAATTATATAAACCCTAAATTACAGTTACATATACAGTACTATCAGAAATAACAAATACTAATACTGTTTCAGAGTTTAGTGTGACGTCCATTTTCGCTGAACTAGTATACATTATTGTTTAGGAGCCAGCTCAGAAGCCCACCTCTGGGTGGGTGATTTTCTCGCTGTGTTGATTCGTTTTAGACCCATTGGTGGCCTTGGACTGCTTTCTGCTCTTTGGTCAGTTTGTTGTCTCTTTGACACATTCCCTGTTTCCATTCTCTATTATATAATTTGCAGAAAGTGACTTATAGAATTCAATAGAAAATGGTTGACTTTTAGGGAAATGGCAAGTTTCTCAAATAAATTTTTTAAGAGGCATGCTTTTCTAAAATGGGCAGAAAATGATACATGTCAGAGATCTCTTATTTGGTTAATGGTATTTCTGCATTTCTAAAAGGCCTGTGTAATACTTTAATCTTGTGTTTACTCAGTCATCTATATGCTTGTATATTGGTTTAAGACCATTATGATCCCTTAAAATGTGTTGTCTGTTTTATTGTATTGTTAAGTTGCTGTGTTTGTGATGTACACATATCTTCATTTAATCGCATACTGTAAAATGGTTTATTTTCAAAGAAATTTGATTTCATGATTTGAAAGTACAATCCTGTTCGCCAGGTTTTATTTTCGTTTTTATCTTTTCCTGGTTCTTATATTTCTAATAGATCAAATATATTCGAGGAATTACTTTTACGATTTATCTTATTCATAAAATTAGTGAAAATAAACCTCAGACAAAATTTCCCACTTAGCAATATCCTTGTTAAATGTTTTGTTAAACACAGAGGTTTTTAAATGTTCAGAAAAAGGTTATAGTTTATTTCAAAAGACGACATTAATTTTAGGTTGGAAGTAAACAAATAATTAGTAATGTTATTAAGAATATAATACAACATTACAATTACCAATGTTAAAATGTTCTGCATGAGATACTGTCCAAGAGCAAGAAATACTTACTTTGAGAAGTGTAAAAGCATCTTTATAGTCTATTGAATTTAAGGGTAATATGTATTCAAATTAAAATTACTAGCCTGTAAGTTTCTGGCAGCCCCTTTTATATTTTTGAAAAAATAATGCATTGGAGTTGGATTTCAGTTGAATATCTATGTGGGCCTGTTGGATGTAAAGGAGAATTACAGTCACTGGGATTATAGCAGTTTGTTCATCTGAATGACAAAATGCTGCAGGGTCTGAAACATGACTGATGATGTATGGTAAATGTCAGTGAGACAAAATGAAATATCAACAAATTTGGAAATTAGAAGTCAATGTGTTTTTTTTTAATGCAGCAATCATTAAAGTTGAAAACATTAAGCCCAAACTAGTATCTCAATTGTTTGTAAAACAATTGAAAGGTCTTTCCTGTAAAAGTGATGTTTTTGTAATGTACTCTTTAAGACCTTTCATTTGATATACGACAAGCATACCTTCTAAAAATTTTCACTTTTTACACTTAATGACCCCATCCGCCTACATTTTTGATATCGGAAGTATGATATATGTAATCTAGACTTGATTATCTTTCATTTGATATGCAACAACGCCATGTTCTAGAAAGTTTGATTTCTGCACTTAATAACCCCATCCAACTTATTTTTGGAGGACAGGAATCTGATATTTGAAATGTACACGTTACGAGCTTTCATTTGAAATACAACAACCTTACCTTAAAAGAAAATTATATTTTTTGCACTCAATGACCCCACCCAACCAATTTTTTGGGGACGTCAATTTGATATTTGAAATGTACGCTTTATGGACTTTCATTTGATATGCGACAACCTAACCATCTGAGAAGTTTTAATTTTTTGCACTAAATGACCCCACCCTTCCCCCTGGGATGAAAAGGGGGTTTTACATTTTCATTTTTGAGTAGAGCTCGTTAAGACCGTCAATTTGATATATCAAATGACCCCATTTGGCAAAGTGCCAAAAATGATGCAATATCAATTATATAAATAGAACCTATGAAACTTACAAAGTCAATGCAAAACATGAAAATTTCAAATTGATTTTTTGGTTTTTTTTTTCATTGAATGTTTTTGGTATTATGTCAAACACATAACCATGTTAAACTCTTCAATTTCTTATAATTTCAGGTGGTTACCTGTTGTTGATTCAGAAATACATGCCTCCGCTCGCAAAATTTCAAAGTGCATTATCTCTTAAACGACAACAGGTATCTCAAATTTGTTAAAAGAAAAATGATCTACAGTAAAAGGACAACATTTTAGAAAAAAATTGGACAATTCCAAAGTTCATCAAGGTCACAATGAATTATCAAATATATGATGCAATATCAAACTTGAGAACCGGAAGTCGTAGAGACATGGGACTACCACCATTCAACTCAAGACCACTTGACCTTTCAAATGTCACAAGGTCAAGGTCATAGTACACTCTGAAGGTCAAGGTTAAATTTCATCATGACCGGACATTGACCTCAAATTGAAGGCCTTGAATTACTGATCATCTTTGCAGTATATAGTAGGTTGATATCTGTTACCTTTCAAAAGATATACATATGTTACTATAGTTTTAAGAATTATGTTAATGTAACTTTTGAACAGACGGTCGGACATTTTTGAGCTTAATGTATAAAATGTAGAGCTCGTCGAGAGAAACATTTTATGCACAGTGTGTATACAGCAAACTCTTATCGTTTTCTTAATATGCAAGCTTGAAATTGCAGCGTAAATTTTTTTTGCACTCTGTGACCTTTGACCTTGGGTGCAAATTGAAGGTCACATGAACTTAAGATTATTGGTGTAGGTCCCAAGTCTCTACGACTTACGGTTCTCGAAATACAATTTTTAAAAAATTGTGTATATTTTTTTAAGAGAATTAACTCCTTATAAGGGTCAATAACAAAATTATTTTATATGTTCATTAACATTGCCATCTGTTCCTGTATATGTTGCCGTTTTCAAATCGATTCTATCCCTAATACTTTTTGAGAAAAATGCAAAGGAAAGAAATCGCTTTAAGGGGATATAACTCGCATAGGGGATGATGAAATCCTATGCAGCCTCATATGGTAGTACATCATGATGAGATCAACCTATTGTCAAAATAAGGTCATGATATCTTTAAAAACAACGAAGGGGGGCCATGTTGAAAAAATCCAATAAAAGGGGGATAACTTCTACAGGGGATGATGAAATCCTTAACAGGGTCATGTGGTAATACTTCATGATGATGTCTATCGATGGTCCATATTTGGTCTTGATAACTTTAACAGAAACTGGGGGAGGGCATTCCCAAAAAAATGTTGGAAGAAAAAAAAGAAAAAAAAAAAAAAAAAAAAAAAGAAAAAGAAAAAAAAAAAAAAAAAGAAAAAAAAAAAACATTAGAAAAACAATAAGGTCTTTCCTAACGGAGTGGAAAGACCTTAATTAGTCAAAAGCTCCAACATTTTATTTAGTACTTGGCAAGTCTATATTATACAGCCTTCCTTATCATATCATGTGTCTTGTTTGTATGTCACATGCAAAAATGTTTATTTCTTTTCCATATGAGAATAATTTGTAAATAAAGATTATTACAAGATTTATAAGATCTCTGTTGGATAGTTGTCACATTGGCATACCACCTCTTATTTTTATATTTATAGCAGCCATTGAACCAATAAAACAATCCTAACCATACTAAAGTCGCCACTTATAAGACTAAAACTATCTGTCAAGACATTTTAATGCAAATTTAAGTTTTGAATTACATATTATTGAACAGATAGTCATTAAACTTGATAATAATCTTGTATTTCATGATGTTTTTCATTCTTTTCTAGGTTTAAAATGGAAGTATGGTGTTTAAGTGATACAATGTACTCTGCTGGCAGAAATTCATCATCATGGCATTGCTTTTAATGATTGTTTTGTGATGAGGTTTTACCAGATTTTAAGACCAAATGTGGAGAACATAACAAAAACTGTGCATAAAATAAACCAGTTTAAAAGCTACATGTCTACTTCTAAAAGAACTAGAAAAAAGGGTTAAGAAAATAAAAAAAATTAAAGGAAAATTGTGTTAAAGTAAAAAACTTGTCTTATTTATTTTCCTCAGGCTTCAAACTTTTAAGATTAAGGAGAAAATGTAAAAATTGCTTAAGACTCTGAGATAGAATTTAGATATGAGCAACCCCTCTCCCCCCCCCCCCCCCCCCCCCCATACAATATTTTTTATACGACCGCAAAAAAATTTTTGTGGTCGTATATTGGTATGACGTTGGCGGCGTCGTCCGAAGACACATTGGTTTTCGCACTCTAACTTTAGTTTAAGTGAATGGATCTCTATGAAATTTTACCACAAGGTTCAATACCACAAAAGGAAGGTTGGGATTGATTTTGGGGGTTATGGTACCAACAGTAAAGGAATTCGGGGCCAAAAAGGGGCCAAAAATAAGCATTTTTATACGCCCGTTTACGGGACGTATTATGGCATACCGTTGTCCATCCGTCCGTCTGTCCGTCGTCAACATGTCGGCCATTAACTCAAAAATGCTTTAACCAATTTGCATAAAACTTTGGTGAATTGTTTATATCTATTGATGTGAGCTCCCTTTCGTTTTTTATAAAATTTAGATTTTACGTTTCCGAGTTGTGGGGTTTTATTCATTAAAAAAATGGGGATTTTCCAGTTTTCGGACAATAAGTCAAGAATGCTTTCACCAACTTGCAAGAAATTGTGGTGAATTGTTTATATCTATTGACATGAGCTCGCTTTCGATTTTTATAAATTTTAGATTTTACGTTTCCGAGTTATGGGGTTTTATTCATAAAAAAAGGGGGGATTTTCCAGTTTTCGGACAAAAACTCAAAAATGCTTTCAGCAATTCTTATGAAACTTTGGTGAATTGATTGTATGTATTGATGTAAGCTCCCTTTAGAATTTTATAAATTTTACATTTTACATTTTTGAGTTATGGGGTTTTATTCATTAAAAAAGGGGGGATTTTCCAGTTTTCGGACAATAACTCAAAAATGCTGTCACCAATTCTCATGAAACGTTGGTGAATTGTTTATATCTATTGATGAAAGCTCCCTTTTTATTTTGATAAATTTCTAATATGACATTGAGAATTTATTGAACTTTATTTGTTTATAGTCTGACAACAGATTTACTAAGTATCGCACAACAGCAAGAAATCTTTAATTGAATATAAATTCAATTCATATAACCAATTTCAAGTTCTTTGACTACATTTATTCAGAAACCTATAATATGTCAAATATTTAATTACAATCCAAATTCAGACCTGAATCAAGCTTGAATATTGTGTCCATTTTTGCCCCAACTGTTCAGGGTTGGACCTCTGCAGGGGTATCTAGCTGCACTCAGCGAAGCAGTTTATTGTAACTTCCAGACATAACTTGTGTGTTAGTGTATGGATCTCTCTGACATTGTACCACAAGGTTCCATATCACAAAAGGAATGCTGGGATTGATTTTGGGGGTAATTGCCTCAAAATTTTAGGAATTAGGGGCCAAAAAAGGGGCAAAAAACAAGCATTTTTCTAGTTTCATGACAATAACTTGTGTGTAAGTGTATGGATCTTTCTGAAATTGTACTACAATCTAACCATGTATTTAGATTTTTGATTTTCGGGCCCCGTTATCAACTTTGTCCACATTGAGGTCAAAAGGGTCCAAAATTAAACTTTGTTTGATTTCATCAAAAATTGAATTCTTGGGGTTCTTTGATATGCTGAATCTAACCATGTATTTAGATTTTGGATATTGGACCATAATAGGTGAATGTCCAATTTAAAATTTTTAAGTTCTTAGACCGCATTCATTCTGTGTCAGAAACCTATGCTGTGTCAAATATTTAATCACAATCCAAATGCAAAGCTGTATCAAGCTTGAATGTTGTGTCCATACTTGCCCCAACTGTTCAGGGTTCAACCTCTGCAGTTGTATCAAGCTGCGCCCTGCGGAGCATTTTATTTTAAGTTAAGGCTGTTGCTTGTATTATAAATTCCAGCTTATCCTGCAAGAATGTCATTTATTGTCAAATACATCATTATTGACATATTTATGACCTCACTGAGACATCACAAATGACATCAGAGACAAAATTATCATATAATTTTTCAAGGATTGATGAATTTTTCAATTTTTTTGCATTTTTAGGAGCCAAATAATGGTTTATATTAAACCTCCCCCTGTGGTTGATGACGACATTCCTAACAATAGAAAATAAACAAAAATACTAATATTAGCTTGAATCAGAACAGAAAGATAAGATGAACAATGTCACTATTGCTCTAGAAGATTTCTTGATTTGTATGATTTGTTGAAAACCTGTTTATCAAGTGGTAATTTTAAGCCAAGTGCATGTGATACTGGTTCCTGGGGATCTTTTTTTTATGCCCCCCCCCCCCCCCTCCCCCCGTACATCCCAAAGTTGGTTTCCGTTCTCTAACTTTAGTTTGCCTCAATCAAATGTTATGAAACTTATACACAATGCTTATTACCACAAAACACAGATCAAGTTTGAATTTTGGTGGTGTCACTTTAACCGTTCTAGAGTTATGCCCCTTTACAAATGGAAAAATTGCTTTCTTTACTATCTATGATAATCAGAGGACCAGACAAGAATGCACAAAAACATTTACATTATGAGTCAATAGTCAGTTCTCAATGTATATGAACACAAGACAAAGTCATATTATACTTTTCTATCCTATATTTACTGTTAACTTTACCATTGTTAGACATAAGAGGTATTGTAAATTCAGAAATTAATGCATGCATTTATTATTGCAATTGTTGACAGAAATGTGAGATTAATTTATGCAATTTCAGAAAATTTGAATATAAATAATGGAAAGGAGTTTAAAATGTGGGTTCTGATTAATGCTTTACTATTCCTGTCATATTTTTCTCAATTGTTTGATTTATAGTAATTTTAGGCTCTACGAAATATGATGTTTAATTTTTTGGGGCATAATTTTCTGAAAGTGTGCAATAGTTTTTAAGCCCTTGTATTATAAAAATGTATTTTCATTTATGAAAGCTTTTCTTTTATACTCTGTAGGTATACAATTTTGATATGTCATATCTTTCTATATCTAGAAGTTCTTTATACATAAATTATATACAATCTTTTTATATGCTTTAAATATTGGTTTAAAAATTGAACAGTACTGTTCGTGGTGACAATCTTAGTAAAAGATTCATATAGATCATACAATTGTTTAAATCTCTGTTAACAGTTGATCATACAATTGTATAGATCTTTGATAACAGTCTTACTGTCCATCATATAATTGTATAGATCTCTGTTAACATTTGATCATATAATAGACCACTTTCGAGTTCGTTGCATTTCCTTCAAAAACTTTGGTTTTAATTAACATCGTTCGTGCATTTAGGAGCATCGTCACTTCCTTCCCAGGATGAGCGAGAGGTTAAAAAAATATGATGCTATAGTACACGAATTATTCGCCAAATTAAATTCTTATAATTGATAATCAGCACTGCTGTCATTAGGGAATTGTGATTAAGTACCTACAGAACAAACGCTATTTCTAGTTTATCCTGCATAATGACGATCACGAAGATATTTGATGAACCTCTATCTGGCATATGATTGAATCGATCTCTGTTAACAGTTGATCATATAATCGTATAGATCTATGTTAACAGTTGATCATATAATTGAATCCATCTCTGTTAACAGCTGATCATAATTGTTTAGATCTCTGTTAACAGTTGATCATTAAATTATTTGGATCTCTGTTAACAGTTGATCATATAATCGAATATATATCTGTTATCAGTTGATCATAGAGTTGTATACATATATTGTTAACAGTTGATCATTGTACAGATCTCATTCAACAGTTGATCATATAATTATAAAGATCACTGTTAACAGTTGATCATATAATATATAGATATCTGTTAACCGTTGATCATATAATATATAGATCTCTGTCAACAGTTGATCATATAATATATAGATATCTGTTAACAGTTGATCATATAATATATAAATCTCTGTTAACAGTTGATCATATAATATATAGATATCTGTTAACAGTTTATCCTACAACTGCATCTCTGTTAACAAATGGGGATCATTGCATCTTATTTTAGGGATCCTTTTGTTATTGAACTAATCAAAATAAAAGAGGGACCATTTTTTTATCAATTTTTGACAAATTACACATTATGATAGAGATTACGATGTTTTCCACCTTGTATCCTTTACTTAAGCTAAAATAGTGTTAACAAAAACACCTTGTCAAAACTTAAATGTCTTGGTGGACAGTGGCATCTGTGTTGCATGGTCATATTTAACTAAATTACATTGGCTAAAAACCTTCATATTGTGACTCATAGTCAGGTAGTGTTAATTGTGGCCATTAGAACAATGACAGCTTTCACATTTATTGTTACCCTCTCCGACCTATATTAAGCTGGTATTTGGTATATAAAAAGTGAGATCAGTATATATAAGTGTGAATGACCTTCTTTTGATATCATTTAAGGTAGTTGACAAACAGTTCAAATAGGGTTTCTTTCTGGTGAACTTATTTGGAATTGTTATGTTGAAATATTAAATTTTGTCTTTGACAATTTCAAATTTCTCTATAAGGTTGTTAAAGTAAAATTTTGAATTGCAAAGGACAAAATTTAAATACATGTATTAACAGAATTGTTAGCCTTATACAGGGAAAACTTCTTGAAAATAATAATATGAGTAGCTACCGTTGACTCATGTTTTAAATGACCTAATTAAATTCATTAGACATTAGAAAACATTAGTGAAAGTGATATCCCTTTTTATACGACCGCAAAAAAATTTTTGTGGTCGTATATTGGTATGACGTTGGCGTCGTCGTCGTCCGGCGTCGTCGTCGTTGTCGTCGTCGTCGTCCGGCGTCGTCTGGCGTCGTCCGAAGACACATTGGTTTTCGCACTCTAACTTTAGTTTAAGTGAATGGATCTTTATGAAATTTTACCACAAGGTTCAATACCACAAAAGGAAGGTTGGGATTGATTTTGGGGGTTATGGTAATAACAGTAAAGGAATTAGGGGCCAAAAAGGGGCCAAAAATAAGCATTTTTGTAACTTCCAGACATAACTTGTGTGTTAGTGTATGGATCTCTCTGACATTGTACCACAAGGTTCCATATCACTAAAGGAATGCTGGGATTGATTTTGGGGGTAATTGCCTCCAAATTTTAGGAATTAGGGGCCAAAAAAAGGGCAAAAAACAAGCATTTTTCTAGTTTCATGACAATAACTTGTGTGTAAGTGTATGGATCTTTCTGAAATTGTACTACAAGGTTCCATATCACAAAGGGAAAGCTGGGTTTGAGTTTGGGGGTAATTGCCCTAAACGTTTAGGAATTTGGGGCCAAAAAGGGGCCAAAAAACACATTTTTTTCTAGTTTCCAGACAATAACTTGTGTTCAAGTGTATGGATCTCTCTGAAATTGTACTGCAAGGTACCATACCACAAAGGGAAGGCTGGGATTGAGTTTGGGGGTGATGAATCATAATGGGGGTTCAAAAAATTTTGGGGGGGGGATTTATTTTTTTTTCCTTTTTTTTCTTTTTTTCCTTTTTTGTTTCTTTTAAAATTTTCCATTTTAAGTTGGTTATTTCTGATTTATATTTAAAATCAAATAATAATGATATGGTAGGAGATACACACCAAACAGGATGTGTAAATTATTATATAATAAGTATTGTGCAATAGCAAGAAATTTTCAATTGCACAGTATTGCACAATAGCAAGAAATCTTCAATTGCACAGTATTGCGCAATAGCAAGAAATCTTCAATTGCACAGTATTGCGCAATAGCAAGAAATATCCAATAGCACAATATTGCGCAATAGCAAGAAATTGTCAATTGTACAGTATTGCGCAATAGCAAGAAATATTTAATAGCACAGGATTGTGCAAAAGAAGATACTTCCTATAAATTGCTTATTTCTTGACCAATTTCAATGGGGTTTTATTCTTGATTTCATGGGGTTCTTTAATATGCTGAATCTAACCGTGTATTTAGTTTTTGGATTTTGGGCCCCGTTTTTAAATTGGTCCACATTGAGGTCCAAAGGGTCCAAAATTAAACTTTGTTTGATTTCATCAAAAATTGAATTATTGGGGTTCTTTGATATGCCGAATCTAACTGTGTATTTAGATTCTTAAATTTTGGTTCCGTTTTCAAATTGGTCTACATTAAGGTCCAAAGGGTCCAAAATTAAACTTAGTTTGATTTTAACAAAAATTGAATTCTTAGGGTTTTTTGATATCCTGAATCTAAACATGTATTTAGATTTTTGATTATGGGCCCAGTTTTCAAGTTGGTCCAAATCGGGGTCCAAAATTAAACTTTGTTTGATTTCAACAAAAATTGAATATATGGGGTTCTTTGATATGCCGAATCTAACCATGTATTTAGATTTTTGATTTTTGGGCCCCGTTATCAACTTTGTCCACATTGAGGTCAAAAGGGTCCAAAATTAAACTTTGTTTGATTTCATCAAAAATTGAATTATTGGGGTTATTTGATAAGTCGAATCTAACCGTGTATTTAGATTCTTAATTTTTGGTTCCGTTTTCAAATTGGTCTACATTAAGGTCCAAAGGGTCCAAAATTAAACTTAGTTTGATTTTAACAAAAATTGAATTCTTAGGGTTCTTTGATATGCTGAATCTAAACATGTATTTAGATTTTTGATTATGGGCCCAGTTTTCAAGTTGGTCCAAATCGGGGTCCAAAATTAAACTTTGTTTGATTTCAACAAAAATTGAATATATGGGGTTCTTTGATATGCTGAATCTAACCATGTATTTAGATTTTTGATTTTTGGGCCCCGTTATCAACTTTGTCCACATTGAGGTCAAAAGGGTCCAAAATCAAACTTTGTTTGATTTCATCAAAAATTGAATTCTTGGGGTTCTTTGATATGCTGAATCTAACCATGTATTTAGATTTTGGATATTGGACCATAATAGGTGAATGTCCAATTTAAAATTTTTAAGTTCTTAGACCACATTCAATCTGTGTTAGAAACCTATGCTGTGTCAAATATTTAATCACAATCCAAATCCAAAGCTGTATCAAGCTTGAATGTTGTGTCCATACTTCCCCCAACTGTTCAGGGTTCGACCTCTGCGGTCGTATCAAGCTGCGCCCTGCGGAGCATTTTATTGAACTATTAAACTGTGTTTCAGGTGCAAGGTGAGTGAAATATACTTCTTGGAGACTTAAGTAAATATATTTTATATAGCCTGTTAAAAAGGACTAGTACAATGCAGGGCTCATATTTCATATCTCATTAACATGTTCTTGTGCATGTAATGTTTGCCACTGGATATTTTTTAACACCAAATGCTTCATCATCATCATATATAGTTCTAACCAACCACTACCATTAGTAGATTGCTGATCTCCATTTATAATTAACCCTTTGCTATGTTTGATAGGAAGGACATTTCTGATACATGTACACCATACAGTCCATATTAAACCACAAAAAAAAACAGGGAAGGCAACTAGTTAAGATCTTTATCTGAAATATGTGCAATTTCAGGAAAAGATTAACAGAAGTTGGTTTTGATAAGAGATTATGAATTACGAAAGACCAGTTTTATAATGAGGAAATAATGTGTTATTGTATTCACATTTCATATTTTGTTTTATAAGCTATTTATCTTTATTTTGTTTTTTTAGATCAAACTATTATGAAAATGTTTTATATACATGTATATGCATTTTGTTTTGTTTTCTGACTGATTTACTGTTATTTGTAATATTCATAATGAATTTGTTAATAAAAGGCTACAATAATTATAGAATTAATTTATATTTGAAAACTTGTCCTAAACGTACATGTGAAATATGATCACTGAATAGTAACATAGAGGCAAAAAAGAGTAAAAATGGATCAAATATACAGCGGTGCTGTTTTATCCAACAGAAACGTGAAAAGATTGATTTTTTTTGCATGTAAGCTGGGACATAATATAATACCTTAAGCATTGTATGTTAAATTATTATGTTTCCCTCTCTGTACCTTTGTCAATTGGATTTATAGAAAAAAGTATCCATCTATCTATATATCTATCCCAGATGTAAGCAAGTAAGATACAAGTCATATCAATCTATAAATAGGACAGTAAATGATTGACATCTTCAGCACATTTAAATGTGATATGCAGTAAGGTAATAAATTTCACATATGGCATGGTAGGTAATATTTCAGAGCTCATAGAAAGAGGTAATGCTATCACTTTTAACAACAGCTGGTTGGTAGGGGTACAGAGCTCACTATATAACTTTTAAGAACCAGTTGGTAAAGTTCAGTGCCTGAATTGTGTAAAGACTGGATCAAGTGACCATACGTTTTATTGACAGTTAATTTGTTGAGGGTCGAATTCCTGTATCATGTCACATACCCAAGTATACCAAATGTACTTGTCATATCTGTGCATCGTAACTCATACATGTTGATTACCTCTGATTCACTACATTAAGGGTTGAACTTTTTGCCTAACATCTGTCAGGGTCAATTAACCTTTTGATATCCTGCAGATATACATAGTAACAATGTGTTGTCTTATCATAATTCACCAAGGTTAAATAAGTATTTATAGAATACGATGTACATGTATTAGAAAATATTGAAAATCATACTAAAAAATAATCGGTTAAGAAAATACACTTTAAAAATCTCTTAATTTTTGACACTTTTATAATGTTGGTACAAATGTACCTTTTGATATCCTGCAGATATAGATAGTAACAATGTGTTGTCTTATCATAATTCACCAAGGTTGAATAAGTATTCATAGAATACGATGTACATGTATTAGAAAATTTTGAAAATCATACTAAAAAATAATCTGTTTAGAAAATACACTTTAAAAATCTCTTAATTTTTGACACTTTTATAATGTTGGTACAAATGTACCTTTTGATATCCTGCAGATATAAAAAGTAACAGAGACATATATGTGTATATATATGTCTCTGATAGTAACAATGTGATGTTTTATCATAGTTCATCAAGGTTGAATAGGTATAGAATACAATGTATTACAAATTTTGAAAAGCATACTAAAAAATACTCTGTTTGGAAATACACTGTTAAAAGAGATTTTTAGTTTGACACTATCATATTAATATTGATAATTTAAAAAAGAGTGCTAGGTTCTATGGTTAGAGCAAATCATTTCTCTTCCTCCTTGGAAACTATAAATACTCTATTTTATGAGAAGCAATAGTATTGTCTTTAAGGTCTACCAAACAGCTGCTGGCAAAACAATTTTCTTTTAGATTTAAAGTTCAGGCATCTTTTATTTAACAGACCAAGAAATACCTGATTTTTACAGGTGTCCGTAGGTGAATATATATTGCAGTGTGTTTTATTTATATAGTTCAGTGTCCGGAGATAACCTTTTCATTGACTTACTGACCACTTGTTGACCACAAAAGTTTTATTCAGTAACACAAGTGATTCCAATGTGAAACAGGTGACCAGCAATTAATCAATGTATTGTAATAAATTTGGGTAATTTGACATGGCAGAAATAGTGATTGTAGATTGTAAATTGGATCATGGAAGTGTTATATTACATTCCATCGGTGGACAGAACCTTCTTCATATGTTTTGCGCTATAAACAGTGTAATAAGTATGTCTTTACGCATTATTTTGTTGTCTTTACAATCTTTTGGCTTTCATTGGTTTTTACTACCCCTATTATTCTTGTGTTTCATCCTTCCAAATATATTTGATTACGATCATTATGTGCACATAAGTATCTGTATGGATTTCTTTCAGTTACACCTTACAGATTTAATGTGCGTCCAGGTGCGGATACACGATTTGTAAAAAGGGGGGACTAGAAAGCCAACCGGTTTGGAGTGATACTTGTAAAAATCTATGCATTTATCATATATGTTGCTCTATATTGGGGTCCTGTCCCCTGCCCCCCTCCCTTCCCCTTTTTCCACTAAATCCGCCTCTGGCATCTTTATTTGAAAATTAATGTTAGTGTCGGAGGTAACATTATTGTAGACTGCATATACTTTGGATTTTGATGTTTAATGTAACAGGTATGTTTGTAACAGAGACGGTTCATACTTTAATTTTAATGGGGAAAAGTTCAGCATTAAATTGACGTAAACGACCACATATTAAAGTAGAACCGTAAAATGGTGTGATCATTCCGAGAACTCCATATGGAGACCGAGTTTTTGACCTGTGGATATTCATACCCGTCAAGGGACACTAAATTTCCTTATACGACATTCCGCGCCCGAAGGTGGACTAAATTTGTTACATTGACTAAATATGCCCAAAATAACTAAATGTATACTTTAGCTATAATAGTTAGTTTACAGATTAAATTTCATAGCAATGTTTGCTGAAGAAAGTTTTTTTTTTTTAAATATAGCAAAATACATCTAAAGCTTTCAGGTATAACGTCTCAGATTTCAATGAACGTAAAATTCCCTTTACTAAAATAAATGTACCAGTAAGGGATATTGATATCATAAATTTGTCAAAACTTTACCTAAATTATATCACAAACAGAGATTCATTGTGGAAGTAAGATTCATACCACCTGCTAACGTCACATTCCGGCCTGTGGCTGAGAATTTATACATCATGCACACGCAGCCAAAATACAAACAATCGCCCCTATCTAGCATGTGCATTACTGCATACATGCTGTATACCAGCGGGGTATTCGTGGGGAGTAGCCCCCTTTACGAAGCTACATATATGGTTAATGTTGCCGTATTGATCCCCCCTTTTTTCACACATATCTTAATGTTAAGTTTAGTGTTAATGGTAGATCTTTGATAGACTCTGTTTTTCTCGACTTGGGGCACACATTGTATACACACCTGTCTATTGTTGACGACTTTTACATTGACCTACTTCTCTCTATACATATGTGTGTCTTTTTAATACAAAAATAAGGAGATGTGGTATGATTGCCAATGGGACAACTATCCACCAGAGTTCAAATGACGTGGATCTAAGCAATTACTCTCTCCTTAAAACCCCCATGAGATTGAGAATTTAAATAAGTATAAGCAATTATAGGTCACCGTGCGGCCTTCAACAATGAGAAAATCCGATACCGATAATATATATAATCAGCTATAAAAAGGCCTAGACATAAAATATGAAACATTTTTGATTGTTTTTGCCTCGACGTATACCCACATTTTTTAGCTCATTTTTATGTTTTGACAAGATACACACTCGAAAACAAACGTTAGGAAAGCTTAAGACATAAACCATTGAAAATCATCTTAACTTAAGAGAGTCGAAGCTTGGGTTATTTACTCAACTAAAGAAACGCTGAAATATTCGGTTACCTTCAAAGGCGGATTTAGGGGTCCCCCTAATGGAGCTACATATATATGGTTAATGCATAAACTTTTTACATGTTCGATTCCTAAATATGTATACAAGAAATTACTGAGTTACGGTTTCGGAATTTTTCTGAAACTGTCATGATATTACGTTGAATGATCGACCAGAAACGATTATGGTGAGACAATAATGAATTTTTAGTAATTTTAGAATATAGAATTCTTTGCAAATCTTTTAAGCGACTGCAAATAGTAAAAATAAATAATTGCAATGTGCTGTAACATGATTACCAGTAAACCCTCGTGAGGTGCAATTAACATGATCACGATAAAATGAATAGCAAATCTGAAGGAAAGAAAATTATATCCCAAAGTATATCTTGAAATTTCTATTTTTAGATTTAATGTCAAAATAGTTTTTCAATTATATTTCAGGCTTTTATTTTATTCCGTTCGTTGAAACATAACTTTCAGGAAAATCATTTCATAAATTGTTTTAATTTCA